ATAGGGCTGGTGTACTAGCAATGGACTCTCAGTTATTCTTTTTCTGGGAATGTCTTAATTTCTCCTTCATTTTGCCAGATATAGACTTCTTGGTTGGCTGTCTTTTTATTTTATCACTTGAAATATGTCATCTGTTTTAGGCTGGGTTCTCTAGAGAAGCAAAACCACTAATCGTATAAATAACTATATAACGAGATTTGTGTCAAGAAAAAGGCTCATGTGGTTGTAGAGACTAGAATGACCCAAATCTGTAGAACAGGCTGGAGGCTTCTCCTGTTTCAAGTAACTGCAGGGGCTGGCAAACCTATGATCAGCAGGTCAAACAGCAGGGCTCTTGCTCACAGGCTGTGAAGACTAATGAATCCCAAGATAGGCAGACAAGACCACAGGTAAGCTGCTAGCTCAAGTCCCAAGAACTGGAGGTCTGACAAACAGGAGCCAGCTGCAGGATTCAGAGTGAGCAAAAGCCCAGGAGTCTTGCCAGAGAGTCCACTTATATTTGATGCAGGCTACACCCCTAAGGAAACTTTATTTCAACTGAATGGTTGCTCCCACAGCAGATCCCATCATAGAGGTGATCACGTTATATCAAATCTCATCATGGAAGTGATCCCATCATCATACAACTGCCAGACTACATCATAACTGCCAAATGACTGAGAATCTTGGCCCAGCCAAGTTGGCACATGCAACCTTAATCATCACATCATCCCACTGCCTTCTGGCCTATATGGTTTCTGATAAGAAATTATTTTATTGAGGAGCCCTAGTATGTGATGAGTCACTTCTCTCTTGCTACTTTCAAGAGTCTTTCTTTGTCTTTGGATTTCTACAGTTTGGTTATGATGTGTCTGTGTGTAGGTCTCTTCGAGTTTATCCTATTTCAGTTCACTTAGCTTCTTGGATGTGTAGATTCATATCTTTTATCAAATTTGGAAAGTTTCAGCAAGTTTTTTTTTTTTTTTGTAAACATGCTCAATGGTTTTATATTTCATTTAAAACTTCAACAAGGGCAAAATGTGTATTTAAACAAATTCAAGGGGAAACAGTGTGTAAAGTATACCAATCCAACAAATCCTTACTCCTCAAAGTTTGGGGAGCAGACCAGCAGCATCAGCACCGCTAGGGCATGTGTCAGACATGCAGAATCTCAGTCTCCACCCCAGAAACACTATCTGCATTTTGAAAAGACATACTACATATGTTAGGGTTTGAGAAGTACCACACTAAATCAGTGGTTTCCAGCTAACTGTGACGTGGGACAAAATTCTGTTACTGTCCATCCATCATGGACTGATACTTTTGTAAAATGCAATCAAGACAAATCACTAGAAATCATGTGCTTGGCTCTTATAGCAATATCAAATTACTGTACATTCACAAACTGGTCACTGTCGAGTTGACTCCAACTCATGGCGACCCTATGTGTGTCAGAGTAGAATTGTGCTCCATAGGGTTTACAATGGCTGATTTTTCAGAAGTAGATCACCAGGCCTTTCTTCCAAGGTGCCTCTGGGTGGGTTTGAACTACCAACCTTTTGGTTAATAGTCAATTCAGCAAGTATTTTTTTCAAATATTCTTTCTGACTCTCTCCTTTCCTTTTAGGACTCCTATTATGCATCTTTTTGTATGCTTGATGGTGTCCCACAGGTCTCTGAGGATCTGTTCATTTTTTTCCCTTTCTGTTGTTCAGACTCGATAATCTCAAGTGATCCATTTTCAGGTTTGCTTATTCTTTATCCTGCTTGCTTAAATCTACTGTTGAGTCCCTCTAGTGAATTTTTCATTTCACATATTGTAACCTTTTCACTCCAGAATTTCTATTTGGTTCTTTTCTAAAATTTCTCTCTCTTTATTGATATTCTCTATTTGGTGAGACATGGTTCTTTGAACATATTTTAAATAGGTGATTTAAAGTCTTTGTTTAGTAAGCCCAATGTCTGGGCTTCTCAGGGACAGTTTCTTTTGATTGTTTTCACTTTCCTGTGTGTTGATCATACTTCCTTGTTTCTTTGCATATCTCATAAGTTTTCATTGAAAACTAGACTTTAATAATATAATGTGGCAACTCTGGAAGTTACATTATTGCCCTTCCCCAGGATTTGTTATTTTTATTGTCTATTGTAGTAGTAGTTGTTTAGTGACTTTTCTGAACTATTTCTTTAAAGTTTGTATCTTTGTCATGTGTGTTCACTGTAATTTGTCGTTGGTTAATTTATTAGTCAGCTAATGCCTGGAACCAGTAAGTCTCCTGGTCTGTGTGTGTATGTGCGTGTGTGTGTTGGAGTATGCCTTCAACACTCAATCAAGCAGTTTACAACTCTGTCTTAGCTTTCACATGCTGCTTGTACAGAGCCTCAAGGTCAGTCAGATATGAGAGCTTAAAGCCTTATTAGATCTTTCCTGAGTAGCCCTAAACATATGTTTGGCATTCTAGATTCCCGGGAATATGTTAGAGCTTTCAAAGCTCCTAAGGAAATCTCATTTCTCAGCTTTTCCTTTTAAGCTTTTTAGTTAGTCTCTTGAATTCCCTGGGTGGTGTAAATGGTAATGGGCTCTGCTGCTAACTGTAAGGTGGCAGTTTGAGTCTACCCAGAGGCATCTCAGAAGAAAGGCCTGGCAGTCTACTTCCAAAATATCAGCCATGGAAAATCCTTTGGAGCACAGTTCTATTCTGATACACATGGGGTCGCCATGAGTCAACTGGTTTTTATTGTATGCTCCATCTGTTTTCCAGCCCCTCAGACAGTTGTGATATTAAAACACTTGACAAATACCCCCTGGGGAGAAGTTTTAGCACTGAACAAGTTCCTAAAGAAAAGCCTTTCCAGTTGAGTATCCCAGAGAACTAACAGCCAGGTCAAATAATGAGTCTTCTTTGGGAATGAGGCTTTGAAAGAGCTCCAGCTCCATTCTGCTGCCTCTGCACTGGTAGTGGGAATGCAGGCTGCTGTTTTTCAAGGCTGCCATGGAGCTGTGGAGAGAGGTGAGTAAAAATGCCATACAGCTCCCTGTTCTTACTGAGAATCAACTATATTTTTTACTAAATGCTCCCTCGGTTGCTGTAAGCTTTTGGTTAATTTCTAGAGTTTTCCATTTTTTGCCAGTTGTTTTGTTGCTTTTATGGAGGGGTGAACTTTCAGAGGTCCTTCTTCTGCCATTTCTGCTTTTATTATGTTTTTGCAACTGTATTTTCTCGAACCAGGGTGCTGGCTCAGGAGCCCAGGGTAGCCCCCATTTCCACACCTGCAATACGACAAGCTGCAGAGTAGCAATCAAGGCTGTGGAGGGATTTGGGCTCAATCAGCTTCTAAGTTTTTCTCAATTTCTAGCCTCTGGCAGCCCCCTTTACAGAGGGCTGTTGAATTGATTAGTGTTTGCAAACCTTAGAATTAAACTTCATTTACAAACAATGTTGTATAAAACACCTGTGACTTCAACCTCCTTCCCAGGTCTGTGTGCAGCCCCAGGAACCCTAAATGTTCCTTTCTTTAGATGAAACTGGTGTGAGATGAGAGTTCTGGGTTCTAGAGTTCAGGATTTCCATATGGAAGGGGCTGGATGGGAGTGGAAGAGGGTCCTAGGTCCTAAGGCATTGACTCGAAGCTGCTATCACAAAACTTTCTACAAAAACTTTCTTAAGCATTCAGCTGTCCATGTCAGAGAATGGGAGGTGTTCTGAGTACTTGTTTCATTTTGGCATCTCCAGGCTCAGCTTCTTTATGCCCTCTAATCCCTGCCTGGAGCTGCCTTTAAAAAAATGTTTGTTGAATTGATTAGTTCTTGGCAGTTTTGGAATTGAACTGCATTGACAAATTATATTGCACCCAGTGCTTGTAGTTACCTGACAGGGTTTCGAGGTTGACCCCCAGCGTGGTTAATGAATACTTCCCCATGTGTGGATTTGCTGGGTGGTGTGTGCTCCTTGATGTGTGGAGCCAGCAATCTGAGTGCCCAACGGATCCCTCCAAGGCTTCCTCCCACCCCAGTTAAGGAGAACCAGTGCCCTGCTGTCTAGAATGAGTACTTCATACAGCTACCATCTCTGTACTTTGGAAGGGAGAGGAAGATACTGCTCATGCTTTGTGACCTTACTAGAAAGGATTTGCAGGGCAATGAGACTGATGTTAAAGGTTGTTTGGACCCTTATTTTATTGCCAACCACTAGGGTTGCTTGACCAGCAGTGGCCCCATTTCACATGCTGACCTCGGGTGTTTGCACTTGGATCAAAAGTCACCCTGCCAATCTCTAGGTAAACACGCATGTACATTTGTGCCTTCGTGGTGGTCTTCCATGGGACCCTGTAGCTTCTGCTCTCCCGGCAAGCTGGGGGACTCACTCTAAGTTTTGGCAAGTGGGCCTCGTTTAGGCTGGTTTGCTAGTTATTGGCCAGATTCTAGGGACAGGACTGCCCCAGTCTGGGTCTCCTAAGATGACATCTGCAGTGGCAGGCTCTCAGGTAAGGGAACAAGGCAGGGCGTGGACACTTCTGGGGCTCTCTCCTCAGCCCCTTAACTGTTTCCAGCATTCCTAAACTGGCTCCCTCCCCTACTGCTCTCCTCAGCTGACTGTCAGGATGTCCAGGGTGCTTAGCGTTTCCTCCCGCGCACGTGGCAGCCTGAGACCCCTGGTAATCTGCCCTGTCACTATGGACCTCACCTCAGTGCTTTTGGAGACTTTCCCAGCCCGAGGCCCCTCCCAGCCCGAACCCAACCCTGGGAGCCTCCGCTTTCTCTGTGCTGCCCCCGCGCCTCCAAGAACAATATCCTTTCTATTTGGAGTTGACTGAATTGCCCTTTGCGGACCCGCGTACGTAACGTGAGCTCCGGTCCCGAGCAGGGCAGCGGCGGGGAGCCCGCGGGCCCTGCTGTGCTGGGACTGGTGTGGCGCCGGAGGCGAGCCGGGCTCTCCCCAGAGACAGACGCGGCGCCGCCCCACCCTGCGCCCACCTTGCCCTGCTGACACCGGTGGTCCGAGGCCCAGTGCGTCTACCCGGCTGCCCCGGGAGGTCGAGGCGGAGGCCCCATGGCGGCCCGGCTGCGCGCGCTCGCTTCGTCTGGGCTGTACCGCCGACGCCAGAACCGGCGCAGCTCGCTGCCGCCCGCCGCTGCCGGGTAGGTCGCCTGGAGCGGTCCTCGGCGAGGACAATGGCAGGAAAGCAGCAACCCAGGTCTTTCCTCGGGAAGCCCCTCCTGGCCCTTCCGACGGGGGCCTCTGGGCGAGGGCCAACGGTTGGGGGCGCGGGGTCAGGGCCCGGGCAGCGACCCAGGCGGGAGGCCGCGCGACTGAATCTAGTTGGGGGGAATGTTATTTGCTATGCACGTTGAGGTTGGCATGTTCGAGATCAGGTAACAGCCTTTCAGACAGAGGTGTTATTATTGTCGCCACTTTATAGATGAGGCTCGAAGTGGTCAAGGAGCCTTTCCCAGAACAGAAACGGCTAAGCTGGGATTTGAACCCAGGTTGGGCTGACTCCAAAGCCCCAAGCTTATCACTTGGGGAGACTGCCAGTGTAGACAAGTGAGGAGAGCCTCCTTCAAGCGTGGGAAGCGGGTGGCCTGGCGCTTCATGTTGGACCCCAGGGGCGTTTCAGAGGATGAGCTAACCTGGGGGTTTAGCTAACCTGAGGTAGTGGCTTTGGCGCCTGCATGGAGGTGGAGCCACCAGGGTGATGGGGTCAAGGACTTGGAGAGGTGTTCCTGGACATGTTGAGTGTGCAGTGCCCTGGGGCTATCCAGGTGGAAGTACCTATCCAGGAGAACGCTGGTGAGAGAGCAATGAGGGCTGTGGGCTTGGGGTCGTTGGCATGGAATTGACAGGTGGAGGAGGAACTGTAGGGGCCAACATGCTGAGGTGGGGGGGGGGTTGGGGGGGAGCCGGAGAAGGAGACCAGAGCAGCAGTCCCAGCGGTAGGAGGCCATGAGGGCTCTGGGGACCCTAGTGAGGAAGGCAGTCCGGGGGGCTAATGCTGCCCAGTGGAAACGCCACCACCAAGACACCTGGAGGGCCTGCCTGAGTTCACTGTGTGCCGGCAGTCAGGGGCGGGGCCTGGAGGGGTGCTCGGAGGACTGAGCCACTGAGTTGTCTGGGGTTAAGAATAGAGGAAACGAAGGGTGCTTGGGAGCAGCAGCTGAGGGCGATCATCTGGGAAGACCTGCTGCCTGCTGGGATGCACTGGGCATCACAGGCCATCCCAGACCGGGGGCACGGGGCAGGTCCCTAGTTCAGGAGGACAGCTAACTCACCTGAACATGGCCAAGCTGAATGCCAGCCCTTCTGGTCTGTCTCTTGCACCACCCTGGTGTCTGTGGCATGAGCAGGAGGTACAGTGCCAGGTGAGGCTGGCCAGGCTGGCAGGGTGAGTGACCGGGGCACGATGGGCCAGTATGGATGCAACACAAGAACGTGGCAAAGATTCGAGGAGTGCAAGCAAGCATTGTAAGGGGAAGCGGGCTTCAGGAACTTTCTATCACATAAGCCACTTGAGTTGCCTTTTCTGTAAACTGCCAGTTCATGTCTTTGCCCTGGTCTTCTGTTGAGTTGACAGTGTGGCAGCCAAGCTGCTAGAGCAAAGGATACAGCTAGGACTTCAGAACAATCACTGTGATTTCAGGCAGTTTTCGTAGACATTCAGAATGTTTCTTACGGTGTAATTGCATTGTGTATACAGCAGCCCAAGATAGCTCATTAATTTTCTATCCTCTGGGATGGGCGTGGGGCTGGCTTTGTATGAGTTCCGGTTCAGCTGACCCCTGCTGCTGGTCTTGGACTGGCCTTGGACTCCAACCTCAGGGGGTGGGGGAATAGGCATAAGCAGTGCTGTGGGATGGAAAATGCTCGGGGCAGCTTCGCTTCCAGCCAGGATGGGCCTTGCTGCAGTGGGGCTCCGCTCTACCCAGCACCTGGCGCAGTGCCAGCGGGGCCTCAGTAAAGACCTGCGGGGTGAAGGAAGGAAGGAACGCCCCTGGCTACCGGGAGCGTTGGCAGTGCTTGTAGGCCCCTCCCAACCCTAGAAGAAGATGTTACTGGCCCATTTTACAGATGAGGAAACTGAGGTTCAGAGTTCTCCGTGGCTGGTCACACAGCAAGTGAGTGTCAGAGCCAAGGCTACAGTGTGGTTTGCTTGGCTGCAGAGCACATGCTGTTAGACGGGCTCCTGCCCAGGCTGACATGGCCCCAGTGCTCGGGCTCACCCTGTGTGGGACTGGGAACAGAGCGCTGTGGCCAGCCCCTACGTGGACCTGCGCCCTCACAACCGTCTTTCTAGGCTCCAGTGAGTGGGAGAGCTGGGACGGAGGACAGTCTGGGGCTGTTGAAGGAAGCGAGAATCTCAAATGGCTAGCCTATGTGATGTCACCAGGAGTTGAGGGGATAGGAGAGAGCATGAGTCCACTCCTCTATGACCCTCAGCAGGTCACTGACCCTTTCTGCACCTCAGCTTCCTCATCTGGAGCCAGGAATGGAGAGACCCTGCCCCCCGGCTAACATCGTCATTGTAAATGTCAGGACATCTTGCAGCAAGTTGGATTGTGTTGGCTGTCAGAGTGACAGCATTTGGGGGTACTAGGGAAGGGGTACATGATGGCATGTATAGAAGCTCTGGAGTTTGGCTTCTGGGCAGGGGTGGTGCCCTTGGCAGTGTGTTGTGTTGTCCGGCTAGGGCAGGGTGTCTCCTCAGGGTTAACTGGGCAGACCTTGTGCCCCCCATTCTTGGCTGGAATGTGTGGAGGAGGACTTGGCATATCCATGTCTCTGGCCCTTTGCCCTCTCAGGGAGTGTAGGCAGCCTGTAGGCCTTCCCCTGGATGGGCCGTGGTGGAGGGGCTCTGGAAAGCGCCCAGGGTTAAGCTCCCAGAGTTAAGATGAGCACAACAGCTTCATTTAGCTAAGGCTTGCCCTGCCTGGGCCCTGTGCTCTGTGCTGGACATGCTTTATGCCGTCCATGCATCATTTACTGGGGGGTGACCTCTTTACAGAGAAGACGAGGCCCGGAGGAGCTCCATTCTTCCAGACCTTGACTGGTGGCTGGGAGTCAAGGTTGGAGCCTGTCTCTGGGGGAGCCCAGGGCCGCGCTTGTCCCTGCCATGTTGCCCTGCCCTGCACTGTCCATGAGACATTCTGGACAGTGCAGTGGTTCAGTCATCCAACTTCATTAAGTCTCTTAGGCAGCGGATTAAAGTCTGTCCTCTGTGTCGCCTCTGAGTTTTCCTGAGCAGTGCTGGGGTGGGGGCAGCCACAGAGCTTCTCACAGTGCTGCGGGTAGAGGCCCTGTTGCCTGGATAATTGGGCTGGGGCAGCAAGTGGGGGGTAGATTGTCACCCCCATACCCCACCTGCCTGTTCCAGGGCTTGTGTGACAATGTAGGGGACAGACAACAAAATCCTTGACCTGAGACACCAGGGGACCGAGCCTGGGGAGCTAGAAGCAGATCAAACTGAGGGCCAGGCTCTGTAGTGGGGCTGCCCCATGGTGCCAACTTCAAGATGAACAGGAGTGCAGAGGCAAGGGCTGTGGCCGGGCTGCTGGTGGGGATGTGTCTACCAGGGCCCTGGTAGGCAGCATGTTACAGTCGAATGGAGTGATGGGGAGAGTTTAATAAGGGGTCTGTCTATGAAAGTGGGGACAGGTGAAGGCTGGTGAGGGATCTGGGCCGGCAGCACAGGCAGCAGGACCACCTGGAGAGTGGCAGTAGCTGCACGGTGGGCCACCCAGGAGCTGTGGCTGTGTAGAGGGATGCCACATCCAGCAGCAGCCAGCGGGTGGGAGTTAGGTCCGCCCATGGGAAGCCAGAGGGCAAGGGGCCGCCCATTGGCGCAGTACACAGAAGTCAGCCCTGGGGCCCAGAGCAGGGTCTGGGGAGAGTCTGGGGGCACATGTAAGACAGGGTGGCTGTGCGCTTGGTTAAGAGCCAGAGGTCTTGGTTTAAGGAGCAGTCCAAGAGTCTGGGGCTGGACTGAATCCTTTGGTGGCTTCATTTTCTGGGTGCTCTGAGTGAGGAAGTCCAGATGCAGTCTCAGGATTTCCTGTTGATTTCTGACCTCTCCAAGCCCTGGAAGATGTTCGAGGTCTTGCTCACAGTCGGGTGATGGAACTTCCTCCCTACTACTTAGGGTGTGTACTTCAGGAGAGAAAGGGCAGCTGGTCCAGAGTGCCGTCAGGCCCAGTGATGTCCAGACCAGCCCCCAGGGGCAGCAGCCAGGGGTGGTCAGCCTCTGAGCCTGCGGGGCCCCCGGCCTGCCTCATGAGACCAGCCAGCCAGTGAGGGAGAAGGTACTGGGCACTGAGCTTCTCTGTCATCCTGGGCTCTCCCCAACTCCTGCTGCCATGCCCAGCCCTGACCTCAGTGCTCCAACCTGAGTATGGATGTCCCCAGAGTAGACCTGAGACCAGGCCGAGGCACGCAGAAGTCCAGCATGCCAGGTGGTCCCTAGGCAGAGAAGAGACAAGTCTAGCCTGGGTGCCCCGTGTGCAGTTTCTGGTCTATCTCCATGTGGCAGAAACCCCTTGTAGGATCCGTAGCCCACAGCCCAGAGCTGAGCCCACACCTCTCTCCCTCCTCCCTGAGCCCATGCTGCCTAAGGTGCTCCTCTTCCTGCGGTGATACCCTCAGGCAGGACAGTTCGCCCCCGCAGAGGGGAAGCCCTGCCTAGCCTCCGGTGTGTGGCTGTGGGCCTGTAACTGGCACCTTAGTGTGCAGCTGCAGGAGCGTGTGGCCGCCGTGCCGGTGGCCCAGGAGTGCAGTGAGCAAGCCCCCACAGTACCGAGGCCATTCTTCGACTTTTTAAAGAGAGGAGGGCCTGCTCCCTATCTGCCCACCCTCAGTGCTGACCTGCCCACTCCCTTTCCCCCCAGCAACATGTCCAATGCCTTGGCCAATGCCGTGTGCCAGCGCTGCCAAGCCCACTTTGCCCCTGCAGAGAGGATCGTCAACAGCAATGGGGAGCTGTACCACGAGCACTGCTTTGTGTGCGCCCAGTGTTTCCGGCAGTTCCCCGAGGGGCTCTTCTACGAGGTAAGGATGTTTGGGGAAGGTTGGGGACTTGGGACCCTCAGTGGGGCTGCCTTCTCGGAGTCTGAGCCACCGCCCCAGGTGCAGAGCCTGCTGCAGGGAGCTCTGGACTGTGCCTAGGGCTGTAGTCCTGGACAAGGCTGTCATATCAGGCCTTGAGCCCAGCTTTGCCTCCTGCTGGTGCAGAGCCTGCTCCTCCGGTTGCAGTGGCACTGAAGGAGAGCCATTCACTCCTCTGGCCCCCTTTGGGGACACTAGGGGCACAGAGACCCTGCCCTCGTGGCCCTTACCCCTCACCAGGATCCGACAGTCAACGCAGAAAGTATATATAAGATGGTGCTGAGCGCTCTTGCAGGAAGGCATCTCAGGATGGGGAGGGTAGGTGGTGAGGGAGGGCCCCACAGAGAAGATCTGCTTGAGCAGATCTGAAGGAGGTGAGGTCTGCAGGATGGGCACTCAGCAGAGGGCACAGCCAGTGCAAAGGTGCTGAGGTGGCAGCAGGGCTGCGGCGCTGGAAGAGCAGCGAGGAGGCCAGTGTGGTTGAGGCAGAGGAAATGAGAGGCAAGGTGGAAGATGAGTGCAGGGGCAGCGAGAGGAAGATCTTGTAAGGCCTCAGGCTTTTACTCTGTGAGATGGGTATAGAGTAGAGGGGTCATGTCATCCGACTGACATTTGAAAAGGGCCACTCCGGTTGCTGTGTTGAGGATAGACAGCAAGGGGGCAGGGACAGAAGAGGGAGACCAGGTGGGAGGTGATTGCAGTAATCTAGATGAGAGCCAAGGGGCCTCTGCCGAGCCACACCAGCTCACAGGACAGATTGCTAACTTTTCAGCATTCTTGCAAGCTGGTTGTTAAACACAGCCATTATTAAAAATTAAATTATTATTAAAAATTAAATTATATACCATGAAGGCTGGATGAACTCCTGGGGAGAAATTGGAGCCCTCGTGCATTGCTGGTGGGCATGTAAAATGGTGTAGCCACTGTGGAAGACAATCTGGTGCTTCCTCAGAAAGTTAAACAAAGAGACAAATGCACGCTAATGTTCACTGCAGCATTATTCACAATAGCTTAAAGGTGGAAGCAACCCAGGTGTCCGTCAGCACATGAATGGATAAAATGTGGTCTAAACCTATTTCTCAGGCATCTAGTGCTGCCGTAACAAAATGTACCTCAAATGGGTGGCTTTAAAGAACAGGAATTTATTTTCTCACAGTTCAGGAGGCTAGAAGTCCGAATTCAGGGCCTGGCTCAGGGGGAGGGCCTTCTCTGACTGTGGCACCAGGAGTTCCTTGGCGTCCCTTGGTGCTTGTCTTCCCTCTCTGTGTGTCTCTGTGTCTATTCTGGTCTTTTATAGCTCAGAAGTGATTAGGTTTAGGATCCACCCCCCCACACTGGCATGACCTTATTACATGACAAAAGAAAACCCTTGATTTCCAAACAGAGTCATATTTACAGTTACAGGGGTTAGGATTTCAACACATACTTTTTTGGGATGCAGTTCAGTCCATAACAATATACAATGGAATATTATTGAGCTGTAAAGAGAAATGAAGACCTGATACATGCTATGACATGGATGAACCTTAAAAAATTACTGAGTGAAACAAGCTGGACACAGAAGGACAGATATTGTATAATTACATTTATATGAAATATCTAGAATAGCAAATCCATAAAAGCAAAAGATTAGTGGTTACCAGAGGCTAGGGGAGAGGTGAATGAAGAAGTAAAAAATGTTAGTAAAAAACACCCACACCAAAGGACCACAACAGCCCAGGGGCAAGGACTAAAAGGCAAGAGGGGACAGGAAAGCTGATAATATGCAACTCATGGTTGAGAAGGGAGAACGTTGACATGTCGTGGGGTTGTTAACCAGTGTCATAAAACAGTATGTGTAGTAACTGTTTAATGAGAAACTAGTTTGCTCTGTAAACCTTCATCTAAAGTACCAAAAAAAAGAAAAAACCACCCACAAAGGTAAAAAATATTCAAAACCTTCCACTTCCTAATTATTTTGTTTTATTTTTCTATGATCTATGCCTTTGAAGGTCTGTTGTACTTGTGCGGAGGAACACTATATAGTGGTGTGCTATAGGACATCTCTTCTCAACCCCACATTCAGTGACCTTATGCCAGTAGCTTGAAATTGGCCATGATGGGATATTTACACCATAGAAATTGGCAAACACTACAGATCAGGGCTTCTCCTCCCCAGAGAGTTGGTTGTTAAATATTTACCGACACACCACTGGTGGCTGCAGTGGGGGTGATAACAAGTGACCAGATGCTGGATATATTTAGAAGGAAGATGATGGGAATGGCTGATGGATGGACGTGGCTTGGCAGAGCAGAGCAGCTGTTCCCCAGTGCCTTCCTGCCTCCTGGGAAACGCTGGCCAACTGTCAGGGCAGTGGAAGAATGGTGGGCATGTGCCTAGAATAAGGCCTGGTTCTCAAGAAATATTTGTAGCTGTATGATTTAAACTCTGATATTTCTGTAGGTCGCTGGGCAGGGCTGTATCCACTTGCAGCCTAACACGCATCCTAGAGAACAGAGAAAACCCAAACATGGCCATGTTTGGGGCCAGTGCAAGGACCCTCTCTGCCCAGGCGGGGACAGTGCTGCCTGGCTGGTGTTCACACAGACCCTGCTGGCTGAAGGACTCGGGTTTCTCCCTTGGGTCTCCCTGCCCTTCCTGTGTTTCCTTCCTTCAGGCTCCCTTCCTGTGGTCTTCAGTGGCCTCTGGGGGAGCTGGGCTTCCCAGAGAAGGCACATAGAAAATACGGCACAGCAACACATAGAATTCAAAGTGATCTCATCCCTCCCCAGCTGAAAATTCTTCCCTACCCTGTGCTCAGGACCAGCAGGGCCAAGATCACACAGCAATGGCCCCTGAGACCTGGCCTTTCGGCCACGCCAGCTCTACAGAGCGCCACCCTTTGCTCTCCTGCCAATCCAGTGGGCCAGTCTCTTGTCTCCAGGCCTTGGACCTGTTGTTCCCTCAGTCTGGCGTGCCCTCCTCTCCCCTTCCCAGCCCTTACTGCCTTTCAACTCCTTACCACCCTCTCCTGGAGGCCCTCCCACCCCTGCGTCCTGCAGTGGCTACAGTTTTGTGAGGGGGTTGCTTGTCCAGCCCTCCTGAGAGCAGGTGCTGACCAACAAAGGATCAGTCAGCCTAGCTCGTGGGAATGATGGATGGTTTGCGTGTCTTTTCTCTTCTGGTTCCATCTGCAGTTCGAAGGCCGGAAGTACTGTGAACATGACTTCCAAATGCTGTTTGCTCCCTGCTGCAGATCCTGCGGTAAGGGCTGTCCCAGGGAGCGCTGGGGGTGGGGGAGGGGCGGCGGCGGGGTGGGGGGCCGGTGGGCCCCTTCCTGCATCCCTCTGAGCATCAGTCCTGGGCCCGTGAGCAGTGCCTCTCAGTGCTGTGGGACTGGAGCCTGTGGGCACCCCAAGAGCCAGGATGAGAGCTGATGTGGGTGGGCAAAGAGGTTCCGCTCCTTCTGCAGGTGAGTTCATCATCGGCCGCGTCATCAAGGCCATGAACAACAACTGGCACCCTGGGTGCTTCCGCTGTGAGCTGTGTGACACGGAGCTGGCAGACCTGGGCTTCGTGAAGAATGCGGGCAGGTGAGGTAGGCCATGCGGCCCTGGTCAGAGACCTCGGGGGTGCCATGGCCACTTACTGGTGCTGACCCTACCTCGTCCCTGCGGGGGTGGTGGTGGTAAAATACCAGTGTGACACTGGGGGCCAAGTGTCAGGGTCCCCTTAGGGTCATGCTTATTCCCAGGCAGCAGGCTGACAGCTGATAGGAGGAGGAAAGTGGCTGGAGCAGGAGCCGGTTAGAGACAGTGACGGGATAAGGGACTTGGAGCTGCATCAATCCCTGCCTGCCACCCACCCTGCTGACCCCACTGTCCACCTTCCCCTTCCTGCACCCACACAGCAGAGCATTGCTGGAGAGAAATCCCCCAATGAGGCTGCCCAGATTCACTCTAAACTAAGGACGTCCACTCCTTCGCAGCGCTAGGTCTCCTTCCAAACCAGGAAACCAACCCCACTGCCGTTGAGACCATTTCTACTCATAGCCACCATATAGGACGGGGTAGGACTGCCCCGTAGGGTTTCCAAGGCTGTAATCTTTATGGAAGCAGACTGCCACATCTTTTTCCCTCAGAGCTGCTGGCGGGTTGGCACCTGCCCTGGGCGTGTGGCGCCACTGAGCAGTTTCTGTTAATCCTGTATGGCTCCACATCCTTCCTCAAGCATGGTAATGTGTTAGTTAAAAGACTAACGAGCTTGACTTGTATTTTTGAGCTGATATTATGGTAAAGTTATCTAAAAGAGGGGTGTCAGATGTTTGGACAGGGGTGCAATTTCAGTGCTTGTCATAGGCGCCATTTTCCATAGATACACCACTGGCTGTACTGGGTTAGTAGAAACTGCTCGGTGGTGCCACACACCCAGGGCCGGTGCAGTGCTTGCCATATCTGCCATACCCTAATTGCCAACATTTCGGTTAGCATCCAAGTGCTTAACCACTGCACCACCAGGGCTCCTTTAGGTCTTCTTACCAAACCCATTACCGTCCAGTTGATTCCTCTCCCACCATTGTGCTATGCCCTCCCACCCCCTTGCAGCTGATGGTCTCCTCTCCCACTTCCCTGAGGGCACGAGCTTGGGGTGTCCCTGTTCCCCTGCACCACCCCTCCCTCTGTTGCACCTCTTGAAGCCCAGTTCACTCCCCGTGGCTCCTCGAGGGCCTCGACTTCCGACCTCTCTCTCTTTCCCTTTCTGGAGGGCCAGACCTGGGGAGTCCCATGGTTTAAACACCTGAGCCTGCTCCCTCTGCACTGCACTGGCTTCTCCCAGCCCCTGCAGCACACCTGCTGTCTCCTCCCCTGTGCCCCTACCCCCGTCTGTGGCAGTGACCACCACATTGCCAGCCCAGTGATCCCTGACCTGCTGAGCTGTGCCACAGCCCCACCCCTCCTCCATGAACTCCTCCTCTGGCCTCAGGGCTGCTCCTGCCCAGGCACCTGCTCGGCCTCCCTGGCCTCCATTCATCTCTTAAGTCTCAGGGTTATTTGGGGCTTTTTCCTCATCTCTGCCCTCAAGGACAGAGCCCCCGAGTCTCAAGTGTTCTGGAAAACTTCAAATTTGTACCTCCATCCCTGACCTCTCCCTTGATGGGACTACCGCGATATGCAGTGGGCCCCACATGGAGCCCTTGACCTGTGCACTGCTGGCCAGGTCTGCTTCTCCAGCAGTCTTCACTGCAGTAGAAGACCCCACTCTCCCTCCTTACAATGCCAGAGATCTGGGGGTCCTCGGCACCACCCAGTGTCTCCTCTGTCAGCTAGCTCTCCTCCCTGGGCTCTTCTGCCATGCTGTCCTCTGTCACGCACCTCCTTTATTCTTCCTTGATCCTGCTGGTGACACTGTTGTCCGTTACCTGCCCCATGAGAGATGTGCTGCTGGGCAGGCACATCCTGGCATCTCCAGTGCTCAGCACAATGCTGGCCCTCCACAGTGCCCAAGTGTCAGCTGTCTGGGTGAGAGGCTGGGGACAAGATGGCTTGATGTACTGCCCAGGGTGAGCCCTGTCCTTTTATGAGCCACTGTGCACACAATACTACCCACCCTTCTGGTCTGTGGGGAGGGTCCTGAAGAGACTCAGTGCTTTGGGAAATAAGATGCTGCTGTAGATTTAATTGTGTCCTCCAAAAATGTATGTCAACTAGGTTAGGTCATGATTCCTAGTATTGTGTGGTTGTCCTCCATTTTGTGATCTGATGTAACTTTCCTATGTGTTGTAAATCCTGACCTCTGTGATGTTAATAAGGCAGGATTAGAGGCAGTTATGTTAATAAGGCAGGATACAATCTATAGGATTAAGTTGTATTAAGTCAATCTCTTTTGAGATATAAAAGACAGAATCAAGCAGAAAGGAGAGGGACCTCATCCACCAAGAAAGAAGCACCAGGAGCAGAGTGCATCATTTGGACCCAGGGTCCCTGTGCTGAGAAACTCCTAGAACAGGAGAAGATTGATGACAACGACCTTTCCCCAGAGCTGACTGAGAGAGAAAGCTTCCACTGGAGCTGGCATCCTAAATTCGGACTTCAAGCCTTCTAGACTGTGAGAAAATAAATTTCTGTTTGTTAAAGCCATCCACTTGTGGTATTTCTGTTACAGCAGCACTAGATAACTAAGACAGAATTTGGTACCAGGAGAGTTGGGTGCTGCTCTAACAGATACCTACAATGTGGAATTGGTTTTGGAATTGAGTAACGGGTAGAAGCTGGAAGAGTTTTAAAGTTTCTAATAGTAAAAACCTAAATTTCCTTGAAGTAACTGTTGGTGGAATTATGGACATCAAAGACAATTCTGGTGGGGACTCAGAAGGAAGTGAGGAGAACTGTAACACCAGAGACAGTGCAGACAGTGAGAAGCAGCAGCAGAGAAGCAGCAGCAGCAGAACCAGGAGACCAGCGTGAGACAACTTGGGAGCTGACCCATGGAACGAGAGAGCTGAGTGCCTTTACACAGGAGGCTTCCTGGCAGAGTGGGGTGCCTCTGGGCACTTATTGGTGGAGCTAGGCTTGCCCACCCTGGGAGTGGGAGAGCTGAGTGCTTTCCAGCCGAGTGCTTTACTGGCTGAGTGGGACGCCTCTAGGCATTTACTGATAGAGCTAAAGAGCTTTGGAACGCTTGGCCCAGCAGAGTGGACTCCAGGCCTGCCTAAGAGGTCCAAGGGGCTGAGAGGCCAAGGAACCAGGAAGCAGAAGCTGAACAGACAAGGAACACAGGAAGCAGCGCTGCCTCGATCTCAAAGAATAGGGCCGTGACCTCTGGGGTCTCAAAATGTGGGGCCACAGATTCCTAGGTTTTAAAGAGTCACATCTTCACCAACTCGGTTCTGGAGTATGAGGCTGCTGTTCACGAGTGCCAGTGGGATGGAGCCGGATCTGTTGCCCAAAGCTGAGGGGGCATGGCTACTATGCCCAAGGGGCAGAAGAATGGGGTCTGCCGGAGCTAAAGGGGTAGGATTGCCACACAGACGGACTAGGGGAAAGGGGCTGCCCAAATCTGACAGAGCAGAGCTGCTGTCCAGTGGGCCTAGAAGGTGGAGCCTAGGGCCGAGGGACCTCTGCCCAGAATCTGGAGAGTGTGACTAATACCCGGAGTCTGGAGGGCAGGGCCATTGCCTAAGTGGTCTTAGAGAACAGAGGATTATTTTCAAGCCATGAGAGCTAATGTGATGTGTTCTGCTGACTTCTTTGGTGCTTGTTACCACTTCTTTTCCTCCAATTTCTCCCGTTTGTAATGGAAATGTCTAACTTGTGCCTGTTACACAATTTTACTTTGGAAGCAGATAACTTATACAGATTTCACAGATGAAGAGAAATTTTTCAGAAGATGGAATTTGCACTTGGAGTTGATTTAAGACTTTTGCTGTGATATGACGGAGTGAGTGGGTTTTACATGTGTCAAGGACATGAATTTTTGGAGACCAAGTAGTGGAATATTATGGATTGAATTGTGTCCCCTAAAAATGTGTGTCAACTAGGCTAGGCCATGATTCCCTGTATTATGTGGTTGTCCTCCATTTTGTGATCTGGTATAATTTTCCTGTGTGCTGTAAATCCTACCTCTATGATGTTAATGAGGCAGGATTAGAGGCAGTTATGTTAATGAGGCAGGATGCAACCTATAGGGTTAGGTTGTATCTTGAGTCAATCTCTTTCGAGATGTGAAAGAGCGCAGAGAGTAGAGGGACTTCGTGCCACCAAGAAAGAAGCACCAGGAGCAAAGCACATCCTTTGGACCCAGGGTCCCTGCACTGAGAAGTTCCTAGACCAGTGGAAGATTGATGACAAGGACCTCCCCACAGAGCCGACAGAGAGAGAAAGCTTTCCCCTGGAGCTGGCACCCTGAATTCAGACTTCCAGCCTTCTAAACTGTGAGAAGATACATTTCTGTTTGTTAAAGCCATCCACTTGTGGTATTTCTGTTATAGCAGCACTAGATAGTTAAGATGGATGTAATATAGAAGTATTGCTGTAAGGGAAAGGGGGTGTAGGTGCCAGCTGGAGTGTGTGATTAACAAGAGTCCTTTCTCCAGGAGACCTAGGCTGGCACCACCAACCTCACTGTGCAGACATGGTCCTGCGGGCTCTCAAGAAGAGGAGAGAGATTGAGAGTGTGTGCAGCCCACCCCTGAGCCCCAACTCTGCTGCCTTCGCCACTGCTTTGCCATTCCTGGGTTGAAGGGAAGAAAGTTCTGGGAAGGATGTCATGTTAACCAAACACTGCCCCTTCATAGTCTTAAAATTACAGTTGTGTTAAGTTTATGATCATGTAACAAGTCCTGGGTTAGTGGGAGACAGGTCCCCACCAGGTCCTGCTCTGCCCTGGGCTTCCCCAGGCAGTAACAGAGCTTGGCTTCTGGGACTGTCCGCTGATGCGTGTGCTTGGCCAGGACTAGGGAGGGACTGACACATGCCGAGATGCACTGGTGATTATCAGGCCAGATACCGGACCTCTTTAGGTCTGTTGGAGGGCTTAGAGTAGGAGGCACCGTGTATCCAACACTGAGCTGATGACCTGGTGACCGGCGGAAAGGTATTACCCAGCACTGGGCTGTATAGTCTATGCCCCTAAACTAAGTCAGGGGTCGTCTACCGAGTGCACAACAAAGGGAGCTCAAACCACCTTGCACTTCAGAGGAAATATTTGGGCACCCCTCCCCACCCCTCCACCTCTCGAAGGTTGTTCTCTGGCCACCTTCTGGAATTCCTTCTGCGGAGCTTTGCCGAGAGGCGTTTCTGTCGTGGGAAGTAGGCTGGCAGCCAGGCAGGCAGCTTGGGAAAGGAAGAACGGTGCTCACTGTCAGCCACTGGTCCTCTGGCCTCCTTGCCCAGTGCTCAGTGGGCAGAGAGGCGGCTGGGCTCCCGGCAGTTCTTTCTTTGTAGGGAATCATGCACCGGTTGAAGCCTGGACTCTGCCCTGGGGGTGACTGAGCTCACGCCTGAGAGTGAGGGGCGTGGCCTGCTGAGATGCCAGTTTGTTTCTGCTTGAGGGCCAGGAGTAGGGACAGAAGGATCCTTCTTGAGTCTGGGCAGCACCGCCATGGGGGCGTTGTCCCTCTGGGGTGGCTTCCGGAGGGCTGGCCTTTACAGCTCTGACTTGGCGCTCAGCGAACTCTCGTTGGTTTTCCCTTCAAAGCTAGGGGGTGGCCCCGTGAGCCTTTTGCCACAGAGCAGGTTGCACAGGGTGTCGCGAAACTTCTCGGCCACAAAGAAGTACATGACGGGGTCCAGGGCGCCGTTGAGGCTGGTGAGGCAGGAGGTGATGCGGTTGCCCAGGGCCAGGATGCGCTGGGCGGTGCAGGAGGGCCTGTGGCTGTGCAGGTGCAGCACGTAGATGGAGCGGTGGACATGGTAGGGCACGAAGCAGACCAGGAAGATGGCCAGCACCATGGCGATCATGCGGATAGCTTTGCTTTTGAGGCGCTGCTCCACGCGGGGGCCCTGCCGCAGGCTGCGGATGATCAGCAGGTAGCAGGTGACTGTGGTGACAAACGGGAAGGTGAAGGCCACTGCCAGGGACACCAGGGCGTGGTGGGAGGCCTTCTCCCGGTAGAGTTGTAAGCAGATAACTGTGTGGTTGGTCTGCACGGTCTGCGGGCTCACCAGTAGTGGGGCCATGGCCACGGCCACCACCACCCAGAGGAAGGCGCAGGCCAGGTGGGCGTAGAGGGGCCTGCGCAGCTTGAGGGACCGGACAGGGTGCACGACAGCCAGGAAGCGGTCAGCACTGATGCAGGTGAGGAAGTAGATGCTGGCATACATGTTGAGGTAGAAGAGGAAGCCGGTAAGGCGGCATGGGATCTCCCCGAATGGCCAGTGGCTCCCGGAGAAGTGGTAGACGAGGCGGGTGGGCAGGACCAGCACGCAGGACAGGTCGGCCACAGCCAGGTGCATCAGGAACACGTTGGCAGGGGTGCCTGACTTGTGGTCCCGAACGAAGAGCCACAGGGCCAGGGCATTGCCGACAAAAGCCAGGATGAAGTCGAGCAGGTAGAAGGAGGCAAAGAGGGTGTTCTCCAGTGGAGTCTCCTGGCCACATTGATCCACGGCTGCCAGGGAGGCATTTGCGTTCAGGCCTGGGGGGGCCACCTCGAGGCCATTCATACTTTGGCTGGGGGCAGAGCCAGGGCACGAGCTTGGAGGGAACAAGAACGGCGTTACAGAGCGCCTGGGGCCCGTGAGCTCCACACAGCCTGCCGCCCGCGCCCCAGCTCCAGTCAGACTGGCCACTTGCAGGATCCCCCTGTCCTGAATCGTGTGACTACTGAGGGTGCTTCCTGTGTCCATTTGTGGGGGGTGTTCTGAACTTCAGCAAAAAGCACAACCCAAAGCCAGAGCCTGGGTGCTCCTGGGGCACTGCCGGGGTGAGGGATGGGCCCGGCTCTGGGTGTCCCAGCTGCCACACTGCGTCTAGGGCTGTGCCCCAGAGATGGCAGGGGAGGTCAGCACCACGTAGGAGGCCCAGGCTGGGGTGTGTGTGGGAGAAGGCCTGTCTTCTGCTTAGCCCTAGGTGTGCTGTCGGAATGCAGTCAGGGTGGCACGCGTAGTCCCCGAGTCCCGCTTCTGAGGATGGGTGGGTCTCCATCCCCCGGGGAGCCCAGCCAGCTCCTCTGCAGCCTCTGCCTTGCCCCAGGAAGCCTGCTCATCCAGAGTCCCCGCCATTGCCCCCTGGAGCCCGCAGGGCCTTCCAGCACTGACGTGACTCTGCTCCTGCCTGTGCCCGTGACCGTGCAGCCTGCGCGCTGCTCCCCTAGCTCCTGACATACGGGAGGGCAGGTAGCCGTCAGTCCCTCCTTTCCTGCCGCCCAGACTTCCAGGGCTCTCAGCCCACCAGCTCCCTCAGGGCATCCCTGCGGGATGAGACCTGCATTTGAGGCCCTGTGCTTGGGCCTCACTCCTAGAGCCGTTTAACAGCCAGGAGGTGATTTTCCTCCAGGAGTTGGGAGCGGGCTGACCCAGAGGTACAGAGGGTTTCCCACCCAAGCACCAAGCCTGGGAGAGGCCTGGGGTTGTCTGCCGCTGCTGGCCCCACTTACCCGGTCTGCCCGCTTCTGTGAGGCCAAGCTCTACTGGCCTGGCCCAAAAGCCACTTACTCCTGGTGAACCCGGTTCTAGCTAGGGTGCTTCCCGCCCCCTCCTCCATGGAGCAGCTGACTCTTGCTTGGACTTTAGTCCAGTGAAGAGATGCAAGAAGGAGAGGGAGAGTCCCAAACAGCCTGCCTTGCTCACATGGCTGGTGGCGGCGGCTGGGTGTGGGCAGGAGAGGCCCGAATGGCAGGGGCAGCAAGACCTCACGCTGAACTCAGCCCCTGCTTTTCATGCCCTTCTGGGCGCTGACTGGCTGCAGTGGGTGTCTCCGCAGCCGGACAGCACCCACATTCCCCCGCCCTGGGAGGCTGGGCTGCAGATGGGGCCGGTCTGCACTTCCCGGTGCACTGCCTGCCCTTTGTGGGATGCGCTCTCAGTTGTCCTGGTGGTGGATTTGCTGTCAGGGCCCCATTCACACCACATGTCCCTGGTGGGCAACAGCCCCGGTTCCTTTCCTAGGACTGCTAGGGTCAGCGTGCTGTGGGAGTAGAGATTTGAGGACAGGAATGTAGGGAGCAGGGCTATTTGGGGGCTCAGGCGGGTGCCAGAGGAGACAGGTTTACATGGAGCACAGTGAAGGGCCCAGAAAGAGGGGCTCCAGAAGGGCTGTGGCATGGAGGGAAAGGCAGTACACAGCCCGAGACAAAGCGACTGAGCCGTGACTGTGTGCTGGGGGATGAGGACCAGGCTGCAAGCAGGAGACAGGTCTCCAGAGCCAGAGAGTGGGGAAGGGAGGAGAGGGACAGCCCGGGGCACAGCAGGTAGACGTGGGCAGGAAGGATGGGTGATGTGTGCTGTTCGCAGCAAGGAGAGGAGGAAGGTGTGAGCAGAGGGGCTGTTGCTGGAGAAACCCTGGGGGCTGGGGAGGGGCTGGGGCCAAGCAAGTGAGGGGCTCCTGTCAGAACCCAGGGAAGGCGAGGGGTGCAGAGGGCTGAGCTGAATGAGCCTGTGCCCTCCGCCCCCAGGCCTGGGCTCTGCCGGCAGGTCCATCCTCACCGGGCCCCTCCGTTAGGGCAGTGCAGGGCACTGACCACCTGTGCTGCCAGTCCTGGGAAGCAGGCAGCAGTGCGTTTCACAGACCAGGAAGTAGAGGTCCACTAACTTGCCCGTGGTCATTTGGGCCCGGCCATGGCTCTGGGATTGGGAGCCAGATCAGAGACCCCAGCACCTCCAGGCTGACAGGGCACCTGTCGGCAGAGCTGGGAGGGTGGCTCTGCTCAGTCCACGCTGCAGCTGTCCCAGCACAGTGCACCCTTCTCGGGGCCTGGCCCCAGAACCGGTTGCATAATTTTCGGGCCCAGTTTTAAATTAAAATGCAAGGCCCTTTTACAAAAAGTAAGACTTTCAAGATGGCAACAGCAGAGCATTAAACCAAGCATGGGCCTTCTGTGGTGGGGGGGCCTGTGTGACTGGACAGGTCTCCCCACGTGGCACCGGTCCTGCCTGGCCCTTGCCCTGCAGGGGCCTGGACGGGAGCCCCTGGAAATGGGGCTGGCAGGTGGGTGGACAGGCTAGAACTGCCTGGGTGGAAACTGGCGCTGCCCCTGGTCTCCCAAACCTTTGTGACGGCAGCAGTGGACTCCCTGGGGTCCCATCCCTTGTCTGGCTTGTTTCTGGTGTGCTGAGGTTTCTTTCATCCCTCTCACCCATTTATTGAATATTGATACTGATTTTTTTTTTTTAAATTTGAGTCACTCTCATTACTTTAAAGGGCCTTGGCCTGAGTTCGCTCCAGTCCCTCATTAGTGGGGGACGGAGCTTGAGTGTAGCACTGACCAGAAGGTCTGGGCAGCGTTGGCTGCACAGCGAGTGGTCAGAGGAGCAGGCAGGTGGCTCCATGGAGGGACAGCTGGGCAGGCTGTCATGTCTGTGAGAGGGCTGTGGTGGCAGTGCTGTATGCTGCCAGTGGCCGTTGTCTTCTGCTTCACATCAGGACACCTCTCCCTCCCTCGCCTAACCACTTCTCCCCACAGACTTGTTCATCTGGCACCTTCTTGTGCCAAAGTAGCCAAGTGGTCAAGAGCCTGGGCAATGGGCCCTCTCTCAGCCCCCAGACAGTGGGCTGCGAGCCCCTCCTTTGTGGGGCTGAGTTCAGGCTATGGTGAGCCCCGACAATGGGTCATACTGTGACCACAGAGAAGGTGCCCTTCCCGCGCCCCGTAGGGCCTCTGTGCTTGGCTCTGCTTGGCCACTGAGCTCCCTGCCTGCCCCACCCCCTTACCTCTCTCAGATGGTTCAGGCGGGAGGGGCAGGAGGGCAGGGAGGTGAGCGCAGAGGAGGGCGGTGAGCCGGAGCCGGTGGATGGTGGAGCGGTGGGCCCTCACGGTGAGGTGGAAGGCTGGCTATTTAAGGAGTGGAGGAGAGGCTGCAGCTCCTTTGGCCCTGAAAGGCCGCTTCATTCCTGTGGGAGCCCTTGTGTGGTGTGGTGCCGCTCCTGCGGCCGCCTCTTCTGCCATGGTCCATGAATATCCCAGTGTGTCCCCAGCCCCCCAGCGTGTCTCACAGAGGCTGAGTCTGTGACTGTCCTCGGTCTGGGGAGTGGGCGCCGTGGGTCAGGCTCTCAGTGGCATTGACAGATACAAGAGGACGTTTCAGAATGGGGCAATTTCCTGTGACTGGGGGTAGGTGCAGGGAGGGGCTGGCTGCCATGCCAACGGGTGGGTGCTCCCACGCCTGCCCTGCGTGCAGGAGAGGGTCTTGTGAATGGGCGGTGGGAGCTGGAGAGACTTGTTCAGCCGGATGAGAGGGGACTCTTTTAGGATACTTGCTATGGGGCCCTTGTGTCCTGCCCTGTATAATTAGGTCCCGTTCGGGCAGGAGGAATAAATCATGGCCTTTATCTCAAGCGGGCCACAGCTGCAGGCCGCCTCATAATGGGGCGCTGTCTGGCCTGTGGGACAGGCTTAGCCCGGAGGCTGGCCCTCGGCTACCCTGGCTCCTCCCCAAACCACCCAGCCACTCCTGCCCTCTGACCCGGCCCCCAAGATTTGGACCGGCTGTGTTAGGGTGTTGGTAGTAGTTGTGTGAGCAAAGTTTCTTCCTTCTCATTGTTCCACAGCTGATTTATCCAGCAACTAAAACCAGTTGCCATCGATTCCAACTCACGGCACCCCTGTGTGTCAGAGTAGAACTGTGCTCCACAGGGTTTTTAATGGTTGATTTTTCGAAAGTAGATCACCAGGCCTCTCTCCCAAGTTTCCTCTCGGTGTGTTTGAACTGCCAGCCTTTCTGTTCGTAGTGGAGCGCTTAACCATTTGCGCCACCGAGGGATTCCTATCCAGTAATACAGGGAGTTAAATCACCATTGCTAGTTTTAAGACTTTTAACCCTTTGGTGACCCAGTTATTTTCTGCTTTGAATTTTTTGCTGTCGCCGTGCGTTTTCCTTAATGGAAGCATGCTGAATCATTGAGTGTGTCTGAATTTTTGGTGGGTAGCATGGATTTTTTTTGTTGTCTCCTCCCACAAGCCTACCCTAAAGTGTTTAGTGGTAAATATGAAGTACCACTAATTATACCCCAGAGTCCCCACCTGGGTCTGTTGGTACATATGGTAACAAATAAAAATTTGCAAAACTTCTATTTTTCCTACCAAAAATTCAGATACCTCATACAATACCCTGTAAAAACAGTGATTTGCAGCACACGCCCATTTCTTCCATTTCAAACAGTCATAAAGGCCCTTGCTTTACTGCAGCACACTGTCTGTCAGTGGTACAGCAGCTTCCCAATAAACCCCAGAGGCTAAAAAAATTCTGTATTTACCAACGATGGCTATATGTACCACTGGGCTTGTAAGGGTTAAGTACCGGTATGTGTTGCTTAAAGCTTGTTCTGGCAGAGGCCGATGGCATGTATTTCCACGGTCCCATAAGGAGAACGGGACATAGCAGGACAGTACTTTGCTAAGTAGGTCCTTTCTGTCTCATTAGCCCTCCGGTCCCTTGCCCGCCCCGCCCTCGGGCAGCAAGGGGAAAGGGTCCTGGCGCCCATCCGCAGCTGCCTGTCCCACCAAGCTCGCCTCAGGCAAGGACCGTGCAGACGCTGCCGGAGCCATCAAGGGGGTTGCCCCACTGAGGCCACTGCCCCACTCAGCCTGGGCACCCTGTGCATGACACCGGAGGCCACAGCTCCTCCCAGTGGCCTAAGAAGTAGGGTTGGGGCGGGTGGGGCTGGAAGAGTTTATAGTCTATTAGGGAGACGGGGAGGGCAGTGAGGAAGGAAGGAAGGGAGCTGTCAGTGTGGCAGGCTGGGAAGTGGCCCGCTCGACAGCAACTGCATGGCTGATGGCATGTGCGAGGTGGGCAGGGTGGGGCCTGGCTCTCGGAGACCAGGAGGCGACCACGCAGGACAGGCAGCGGCGGCGGAGCCAAAGTTTTCATGCAGTCCCTCAGCACAGCTGCAGTGGCAGTGTGGGGGGCCTATTGTGACCATCCTGCGCACCTCTCTCCTGTATATAATATGGTGTATGTACAACGTCCAAATCACTTAAGGTGTATTGTGGACATTAAGCAACGGATACCTGTAATTATGTTTTTTATTAAAACATTTAAAATGTATATGGCTACCATTTGGATAGTAACTGCCAGATGTTCTGTCTTTTTTTCACAACAGCCCTGTGCGTTTGGGATTTTTGCCCCATTTTACAGATGAGGAAACCGAGGCTCAAAGGGGTTAAGTAACTTGCCCACTGACAAACATCTAGGAAGTGGCAGAGCCAGATTTGGACCCAAGTGTGTGTCACTTTAAAACTTAGGGTTTTTGGCTGTTTGGTTTGTTTTGTTTTCTGTTGCACCTTGATGCTAGAATTCTTAGGTTCCATCTTCATTCTACCTGGAAAAGATATTTGGAAGGTTGCCTTTTGATCTGGTGATGGGGTCAAGTCTGTCGAGAGAACATTTCCCATCTTGGACTCCTTCAAGTGTGGGGGGCCTCTCAATTCTGTCTCCTGGGAGCTGGTGGGGTGCAGGTGTGTGGGCCAGGGCATGGGTGCGCTTCCTGCCTGGGAACTGGCTCACACCAGCTGCGGTGAGCAGGGCGTTTCTGGGCTTACAGACCTTCTGTTCTGGTCGATCACAGATGGCAGCTTCCAGGGCACAGGCCATTGCAGTGAGGTATTGGGGAGTGGTTAATTTCTATAGCTCTGAAACAACAATGACTCCATGTGTGCTGAATGCTGTACTAATGCTAAGAGCTGGGTATGAGAAATAGCTGTGTCTGTGGCACAGACACAGTAGGCGGCAGATGATGTGTTGTGGGCAAGTGGCAGTGGGTGGCTGGGTGAGGCAGCCTGGGCGGGGAGCCAGGGGCACAGGGCGCCTGGACAAATGTCAGGGGGAAGAAGGAAAGGGCAAAGCCTCTGTCATTGTCACGAAGACTGCAGCCACCAGCCACGTCCACTGCCCACTGGTGGAGGAGGGACAGCCCGGGGTCCCCAGCCAGGCCCTATTGACCCAGGGAGATAACACCCACCATCCATCCTTTCTCCTTTGACATAGTCACACATTCACTCTTGTGAGCAAACTCGTCCTGTGCCCCGTGTCCTCTGCTGGGCATGTGGGGGCTGGTGGAGGTGCAGCTGTGAGGCAACCAGGAGCTGAGTGCACATTTAGGGGGCATCTTGCTTGGGCCCCTGGCCCTGAGCCTTTCAGCATGCGGGCCAGTTGGGAAGATCAGGTACATGGGGCAAATGGAGGGTGATGTTGTGCAGGATGGGGTCCAGAGCCCAGATGGAGGGAGCAGGTGGGGGTCAAGGACATGGATGCTGAGCTGGCTGCCTTGGATCTGGGATCCACCCCACTGTAACCTGCTTGGGGGATCTTGAGTCAGGACTGATCTCTGAAGTAGATTCCCCTACCTGCCTGCAAAGGGCTGGCATTGGATACCAAATGCCGTGGAGGATGGTGAGGATGGGGCACGCCTGCGGGTTGAGGGCCTGGGAGGGAGGTCTCTGGACACATCAGGAGCATGTTATAGATTGGGTACAGGTGGGCAGTGGGCAGCAAGGGTTGTCAGAATCAGGGTCTCTGTATCTGAATCTAAATTCCTGCTACCTTTGAGGCCTGAGAAAAGAGAAACCATGTTGATTTCTTTCAGTCCACAGCTGTTGCCCAAAGCAGGGAGTAGCATCAGAAATTACTTCTCCGTCTTCACAAAAAAGACTCTGTAGTGACGGTTCCTGGGTTTCGGGCTTTGGTCGGACACAGCCGTGTTTGTCTTTGGAGACAGAAAGAGTCTGTGGCTGCTCAGGCTCTCTTGGTCTGGCAGACCCCGAGGAAGGGGGTACACAGCTGCCTGACTAGCACCCACTGGCCACTCTTCTGGGCACAGTGGGATTTAGGCTGATGTGTTCATTATACAATCACTCATGTTTGTTAAGGGACATTTGAAAAGTAAAACTGTTTTTTCAACAAATGCCAGTTAAACGTCTACCCTAGTCTACACAAACGTGGAAAGAAGAAAAGTAGCACTTTTGCCTACCAGCCAAAGACAGCAACCATGAACATTTTGGTGTGTCTCCTTCTGGGTCGCCTGATTGGGTGCCACTGGATGAGCTCCTCAGACGCACTCAGGTGTGGTGCAGAGCTGCTGGTGGGGCCTAGAGGCATCTCTTCTCCTGGGAGGTGGCCTGGTGGTCTGAGAGGAAGAGGAGGAGTGGACGTTCTGCCCCCAACACGCAGTCCTCTTTGTCCACTGCTTCCCATAGGCACCTCTGCCGGCCTTGCCACAACCGAGAGAAGGCCAAGGGCCTGGGCAAGTATGTCTGCCAGCGGTGCCACCTGGTCATCGATGAGCAGCCCCTCATGTTCCGGAACGATGCCTACCACGCTGACCACTTCAGCTGCACCCACTGTGGGTATGTGTACAGCCCAGTCTGTGGCTGAGGAGAGCCAGGGCCATCCCAGCTGCAAGGATGAGCCTGGTGGGCAGTGAGGGGTGTCCAGAGAGTGGGCCTGGCACGGCTGGCTGCAGGGCTGCAGGTTGGAGGTGGGAAGGGGAGGCTAGAGGAAGCACCCCTTTCCAGGGCTCTGTTCCAGGGGCCATGTGCACAGCGTGGCTTGACACTCAGGGGTGGAGGAGCCTGGGTCCCTTGCCTGCTGAGAATTGTTGGCTGAGATGATGCAGAGAGGGACAGTCAGGGTCAGGTGATGTAGGGTATTAACGGGAGCAGGAGAGGAAAGGGAAACTGAAGAGACCCCAAAGGCCTCCCCGCCTACCCCCGAAACCCAGTGTGGGTAGAGGAGGAGAAGGGCCAGAGAACAGACCTGCTTCTCAGTAGCTGATGGGGCAGAACACAGGCCGCCCTTCTAGAGGCCTTTGCGGGAATTCTGTGCCCCTAGGCCTGTCTGGAGAACAGGAAGTCCCAAAAGAGACCAGAGATCATAGCAAGCTGTTGTGCTGGCTAGAACAGGGCCTCTCTGGAGGCTGTGGCCCTGAGCTGGAAGGGCTGCAGAACAAGCAGGGCTGTCACTGGGCCCTGCGTTGTCTTCCAGGAAGGAGCTGACGGTGGAGGCCCGTGAGCTGAAGGGGGAGCTCTACTGCCTGCCCTGCCATGACAAGATGGGCGTGCCCATCTGCGGCGCCTGCCGCCGACCAATCGAGGGCCGCGTGGTCAACGCGCTGGGCAAGCAGTGGCATGTGGAGGTGAGCGAGGCTGACCGTGCCTGACCTCTACCAGGGTCCTGAGTGGGGATGATGCCCTGGGTCATGGTTGTGGTCATGGTCAGAGTCCATCCCAGCGGCCCTCCACACTTCCAGCCCCAGGACCTTCCTTTTGGGTGCCGCCCCTCCCTGTCCCCGCCAGAGACCCCAGCCTAAGACCCCAGCCCGTCCACGGGAGCAGGAGACCTGAGCACACAGGCCAGGGTCAGGCAGCCACGCCCACCTTCCCTCTGCCTCCTGGCCTTCTAGGGGATTCCAAAGCCGTGAGAAAATTGTGGGCTGCTCTGCGCAGGGCCACCTTGTTGGGTTGTGGGTAACAGAGAACCAGCTGTGTGCCCAGTCCCATTACACAGGAGCTTGGCAACCCTGCTGTTGAGCTCCTCAGGTGCACTCACCTGGGTCACCTGAAGCACTCAGCCCTGGCTGTAGGCTCTACTCTTCTTACGGAAACACTTGGGAAGCCTGTTTGCTTTTCCCCTCGCTCATGACCTGGCCAGCTGTTCCCAGAAAGCTACGCCTTCTGTGTCCTGTTTGAGAAGGTCCGGCTGGAGGTCGTGGAGTGTCTGCCCCTGATGAGCTGATGCAGAACCTGCCACCCAGCCCGCCTGGGGAGGGCAGAGCCGCACGGCCAAACCCTCGCTGCACAGGAAGGTGCTGCTGAGTGTTTCCGGGCTTGGAGGAGATGCCACGGGGGAGACACCTGCACATCTTCCGAGGAGGCACCTCACATTTAATAGTCAGGGCGGCTGCCACCTGAGGGCCTACCCACTCCAGGCGCCTTGTGACACCTGATTCCTCGCACTGAGGCTGCTGAGGGGCAGTGCAGGCCCGCAGCATCACAGTCAGTGGTGGAGAAGCAGGCCTTGCTGACCGCAGAGCCCAAGCTCTTCCCCACTGGGCAGTCAAGAGGTGGCAGGCTCCTGCCCAGCTGTGTGGGTGTGGGCGGGCCCTCTGCTGCTTGGGCCCCGGGGTCCCCATGCCAGCCCACCTGCACACATCCCGGCATCTGCTCTCCTCCCCAGCACTTTGTCTGTGCCAAGTGTGAGAAGCCATTCCTGGGGCACCGGCACTATGAGAAGAAGGGGCTGGCCTACTGTGAGACACACTACAACCAGGTACGGGCTCGCAGGGCACTGTCTGCCATGTCTGGCCTGCAGGGAGCCTCGAAGGGAGGCAGCTGGGGCAGCTGGACCTGCTGTGGGAGTGCCAGTGCTCTGCAGGGGTCTGAGCGGAAGGGATGCACTGGAGCCGCCCTGTGGCCCTGTTGTGGGTGCGAGGCTGGGCCTGGGTGCTCAGGTCCTGGCCCCTCTGAGCCTCAGTTTCCTCGTTGGCCCACTTTGAGGACATGTCACACCCTTTTCTCCCCCACTCATGTCCAGCAAAGCTGCCTGGCTACTGTGGTGTGTGCTGATGGGGTGGGTTATTGCCCTGGCCTGTACCCTTTCACAGGTACCAGTAGGAGCAAAGGGGCATTTTGGGAAACAATGCCTCAGGCCCACTGTATGCCCCAGGGGGTAATTCTAATGGGCTAGGGTGCCTTCGCCTCAGGTCTGAGGCTGTGGCCTGCAGGAAGGGCCCACGAGGCCCAGGTGGATGCTTGACATTGGCCGTCTGGAGGGGCTGGGACTCGGGCTGGCCCCGGGCTGAGGGGAGGACTGCCTGCCGCTCACACTGATACCCTCCTTGGCCCACAGCTCTTTGGGGATGTCTGCTACAACTGCAGCCATGTGATCGAGGGTGATGGTAAGGCTTCCTCTGTCCCTCGGCCTCCTCCCTCCCCCTGCCCGCCCCGTCCTCCCTCTGGGCTGTGGCTCCTGCAGCTGCAGGCCCAGCTGGCCCTCAGTGTGCACAGCTGGGCCTGTGGCTGGCCAGAGGGGAGCCTGCTAACACCCTCCCCCACCCCCCACCCCCACAGTGGTGTCAGCCCTCAACAAGGCCTGGTGTGTGAACTGCTTCTCCTGCTCCACCTGCAACAGCAAGCTCACCCTGAAGTGAGTCCCATTGCCTAGCTTCCTCTTCCCGACCTCGTGGAGAGTATCACAGGGGCTCAGGGCTGAATGGGCTTTCTGTGGGCTCTTCCTTCTGTCAGGCCCTCTCTAAGCACCCTTCATGGCCAAGCCCTGGGCATCCAGTGGGAGCACAGGGCAAACTCGCCACCTCCCCAAGCCTGGGAGGTGGAATATGTACCTTTGCAACTGACTCTGCAGAAAAGGCCTTTGATGTAGGGGTTGGGAGTGGGGTGGGGTGGGGGGTGAGGGAAGAACAGCCACTTGAGCTGGTTTTGTAAAGGCTTCCAATATACAGACAAAGACGCTGGCCTTGGGGAGGGAAGGGCATTTTGGCAGAGGGAGCAGCATACACAAGGCCCAGGAGTCAGACCACTGCCATCCAGGTAGCTGCCATGAGTGCAGGGTGGGTGCTGCTGTGAGCAGCGAGGAGGAGCCCAGTGTGCCAGGCTCATAGGCAGTGGGCAGGGCGAGCTGCTGAAGGTTCTGAAGTGTCAGAATTGGGGAGAAGTCTCTTGGAAGGAAGGGAGGGCCAGAGGCCCATCTCTCATCCTCTGTGACCTCTGGCTTCCTGGCATGGGAGGGGCAGGGTGGGGAGGCTGGGGTCTGGGGATAGCTGAGAGAAGACTCTGGGCTAGAGTCTCCTGGAGCCACACCCTGATTGCTGCCCCCCCCCCGCCCCCCGCCCAGGAACAAGTTTGTGGAGTTTGACATGAAGCCGGTGTGTAGGAAGTGCTATGAGAAGTTCCCCCTGGAGCTGAAGAAGCGGCTGAAGAAGCTGTCAGAGCTGGCCTCCCGCAAGGCCCACCCCAAGGCTGCCGACCTCAACTCTGCCTGAGGCCCTCCTGCCTGCCTGTACTCCCCTTTCTCCCAGGGGGTCTCCACCTTTCTCTCCCCTCCCCGGGCTGCCTCCTGCCTCTGTATTCTGCTCAGACTCCTTGTCTCATCTCTGTCCTTTGCCCATCCTGTCCCCTCCCCCTTACTGCCCTGCCCTCTGCTCACTGTTTCCTCCTTCGCTTTTACTTCCCATAGCGCTGCCTTTCTCCTCCCTTGCTATTGTTCCTCTTTCCCTATTTCTGTCTACCCGCATGGGGCAGAGGCAGGGGGGCCGGAGGTGGCAGCCTGTGCCCACATGCACATTCCACCTCACATTCGGTCACCATGGCACTTCCACCTGTGCCTGGCACTTTCAGCCAGGGGCCTCCAGGGACACAGCCTACAGCCCGGGGTCACCAGCCCTGCTGTGGAGCACAGCGTCTTCCCCACTGCCTAGCCCAGCCAGCACTGACCTGGTTATACAAGTCCTCCCAGGGGCCTTGTGCAGCCTCCACACCAGAGGTCCCCACTCTGTTCACCCGCCCCTCCAGCCTATGAGCATGCCGCAGTGTGGCACTGTGGATACCCACAGCTGGGACCAGCCCTGCCTGAGGCTGAGCCCCTGGACCAAGCAGATTGGAGAGCCTCTGGGGAACCACGCTGCAATCCCTCAGTCACTCACTTGGCCAAGTTGGACCCCTGGCCACACTGGGCCAGCAAGTCCTCCTGCCCCCCACCACCCATTAGCAGGAAGGACCATGACCCACTCCTGTCCTTCGTCACCCGGGGGCTTCTTCCTGAAATCCCGCTAGTGGCCCCACAGCCCCCAGCTCTGCTCCTCCCCCGGATCAGTGCTGAGCTCCAGGGAGCACCGGCGAGAAGGCTTCCACCTCCAGGGTGGACCCTGCTTCCTCCTTGGCCGGACAACACCTGGACACAGTGTGCATGTGGCGCACAATGAAGGCTTATTTACATGAGCACAGAAGTCCTGCGTGGTTTGTGGGTATATGTGTGGGGAGGTGCTGTGACCCCTGCGGACGCGCCACTGTGGGAACTGTTGACCACTTAGAGAGACAGACACCAGATGAGCAGGCAAAAGAATTGGGGCTTGGACCCCAGCCCACTCCCGGGGCCGGGAGACAGGCCAGCCGGAAGCCTGCAGTGCTCGTGCCTGAGCCTAGCTGGTGGTGTAGCGGGGATGGTGGCTCAGACAGGGCCTGCCAGCCCACTGTGGGGTGAAGCCAGACCTCCGAGGCCCTGCGTCTCACTGTGTCCACTACTTGGCAGAGGCTGGCAGGGCTGGCTGTGCCCTGCTCCCTGGGGTGTGGGTGGCTCCTGGGTTGGGGCTCACCAGAGAGGTCTCCACTGGGGCCCTCCTGGGCATGGGCTACGTGTCCCGCCTCCTCTGGGGAAGGAGAAAGATGCAGAGGGACTTGGAGATTTGGGTGCCCTCTCACCAGTCTGAGAAGCAGGGAGGAGAGAGTGAAGAAGGGAGGGTGGGAGGGGGAGGGGAACAGCGAATGAAGTCATTCCCCAGAAGAGCCCTGGTCCCGTCTCCCTGGAGAAGTCGCCATGCTTTTCCCAGAAGAGACCGTTTGCTGCCAGTGCCCCCAGGCCTCCTGTCCTGACCCACTGCCCGTTCTCTCACTGACACACTCACTTCCAGGGCTCCATGAATGTTTATTGAACATTCTGGGGGTGGGGTCTCTTAGCCTGCCCCCCGCAGACCCCTCCTTTGGGCCCCACCTGGGAGGTAGAGGAGAGGTGGGTGCAGAAGGAGGGGTTGAGGGAGTGTAGCCTGGATGTCACGGGAAGGTGCCTGAGGTGCCTATAAGTTAGCCAGGGCTGGGGCCCGGGAGCTCCGCTGTTTGTTCACAGTGCTCAGGAGCTGCTGCACATATGAGGTCAGCAGGTCGTCCATCTTGTAGCCCTGGACGGGGACAGGGTTGAGTCAGAGACCGTGGGGTGCAGGGGGTGTGGGGGTCTTGGACTAGTGGCATCCTCAGTTCTCTGTCCCAGCAGCACACCTGGGCAGGGAAGGTCCTGCTGGCTGGGTGTGCCCATTTCTGCCTACCCTGTGGGTGCCCTGTTTCTCCTCCCGCTTCACAGTGGCCCTGGACCACAGGGAACCTGTCGTAAGGCCTTTCCACTGTGGCTGCTGGGTGCGGGCCCTGAGTAACTCGCCCAGCCCCTTCTCTCACCCCAACCGGGTTCTGCCGGGCCAGCCTGGTCTCTGCTCACTTTCTGAGCACGGGTGGCCCAGGGCTCACTGTGAGCAGCTCTCCTGGTTGCAGTGGGGGTGAGGGTGGCAAAGCTGGCTATGCCCTGCTCCATGGGGTGTGGGAGGGGTTTGGGTTGGGGCTCACCAGAGAGGTCTCACATAGCAAGCGGCTGCCCCGGCCCAGGCTCCCCAAAACCATGTGGAAGTAGGTGCTGCCGCTGCTCCAGCTGGCGATCTTGGTGAAGGGGTAGGTGGTGAGCAGCTCCTGGGGAAAGCAGGCAGGCGTGGTCAGGGGCTGTGTGTGAGTGTGTGTGTGTGTGAGTGTGTGTGTGCTGGGGGCAGGAGAGTAGGTAGTGAGCAGCTCCTGGGGAAAGCAGGAAGGCATGGTAAGGGGCTGTGTGTGTGTGTGTGTGTGTGCGCGCGCGCTGGAGGTAGGAGGGTAGGTGTGATACACCTGAGCAGGTGACTGCAGCCTCACCCGCACACGGCTCCTGGGGACCCCGGCAGCTCCCTCCCCACCAGCCCTGTCTGAGGCTCTGCTACCTTGGTCTTGGGGTGGATGAGCAGAACCCCGTGTCGGTTGATGGCAATAAGGACGATGTCAGGATAGGAGGGCTCCGAGGTTTGCTGGGAAGGGAGGGCACAGTGGTCACAGCCTGCCCAGGAGGCCAGGTGGCCAGCTCCCAGGGGCTCATCTTCCCTGTGGCACATGCACACGTGCACACTCACATACATATTCACACATACACATCTACACACCCCCACACTCTCACATAAACACATACCTATTCACACTTACATACACACACCCTCACACACATTCACACATACATGTATACACACACATACATTTACATATTCACACATATATACACCCTCACACTCTCACACACATATTCATACACATTACAGTCACACACACTCATACACTTACATACACATACACTTACGCTTATACACACATCCTCACATACACACACATATTCACACATACACCCTCACACACACACATTCACACATACACATTCCCACACTCACACTCACACACATTCACACACACATATACACACACCCTCATACATACTCATACACTTACATATTCACACATACACTTACACATATACGCACACCCTCACACACTCACATTCACACTCATACACTCACACTTACATATCCACACACTTACACATACACACACACCCTCACACACACTTGCTTCTGCCAAACATGGCCACCAGCTCCCACCCCAGACAAGTCTGCTGGGCCAGAGCTGAGGGTCTGCCGGAGTAGGCGTGGGGCAGGCCTACCTTCACCTCAAAGAAGGCAGACCCAAAGGTGGGCCACCGGCAGATCCACTTCAGAAAGGCCACCTTGGCCTCCTCCACCGTCTTGTCTACGTGCTTGTCATAGGCCAGAGGGATGTTCTGGGGAGGTGAGAGCGGTGAGGGGCTGGCTGGGGCCGTGCTGCATGGGGCAGAGCAACTCGTCTGGAGGCCCAGATGGGCCCCTGCAGGGCACCCCAGGGTCTCTAAGGCCCCAGTATAGAGCCGGGAGATTTGATGCCCACAGATTGGTGTACCCACCCCATCCTGGGAATGTGTTCAGGGCCCTGAGGGAGGGCCAGCAGGGCCCCAAGGCCCTCCTCAGCCTTCATCGAGCACCTTTTTCCACTCCTCCGATGACATCAGACGCATAAGGTTTTCAGGCACGAGTTGCCGCAGGATCTTGGGGACACTAGCCAGCTGGGACCGGTCATTGTCAAACTGGGCCTTGTAGATGAGGCCTGCCAGGTGGACGGCATCCTCCCTCGAACACTTGTGGAAACCACGCAGGTACTTGGGCAGCTCCTGGAGCAATGGGCATGTGTATACTTGAGAGCTGGGCCTCAGGCGCCTTCCCGCTCAGGTAACAGGGACACTCTAGGAGGACCTAGCTGGCAACTCGTGAAAGCCTTCAGGGGAGAATTTTTGGCAAGGGAACAACCACTGAGTGGGCAGAGCCCTCACATCTCACCAGACCCCTGGGCTTGGCACTGTGGGTGCAGGCTGGTGTTTCTCAGGCTGCGGGAGCCCCATCCTTACCCTCCCCTTTGGCAGTGGTGCTGCCAGTGCTGGTACATTCACTGTCCCCAAATGCTGCTGCCATTTGGCTCAGTCTCCAGGACAGCCCAGCTCAGCCTGCCATCCCCTGTGGGGCGGGTGTCCTGCCTGCTAACTCCTCCGCCTCTGAGGGCTGGAGTGTGGAGGGAAGAGGGTGGGCCCGGCACACCCAGCCAGGGCAAGAGGGTGGAGGGAAGGAGGGTGGCCCCAGCACACACCCCAGGGCTGGCTGGGGCTGGCCTGGTCAGTGGGAGGGCAGCTTGGCCCCAGTACCTGGTGGTAATGGAGTATGGTGTCTGCATTCACATCCTTCCCCGGGACCACATTGAGCCACAGTTTCCGCATGAAGAGTACCTGGTAGGGGAGTGTCACGGCGGCCCCTGGGCAAGGGGCGGCAGTCAGCACCAAGCCTGCTCTGCAGCCCGACTCCAGCCCTTGGCCACCCACTGCCCAGCAGGCCTGGCCTGGTGCTGGCCTCCCACCTGCTGCCTAGCCCCTGCAGCCCCTCACATTCTGCCTTTGCTCCTCCTGTACTCCTGACTGGAAAGCCACCCACCTCTTTGGCTCCAGTTCCCACTCACCCTTCAGGACGAGGTGGGACTGCCTTCAGGAACGTTCCTGGGCCTCCCAGTGGGGTCAGGCAGTTGCCTGGCCCACAGCCCCTGTGCACCCCGTATCACCCTGCATTCTGCCATCTGCTCTGGGCCTGTCCTCATGCTCTGTGCCTGCCCAAGCTGAGAGTGCTTCCTGGGCAGGGCTGGGTTATACACACCTATGCCCTTCTGCCTGGCACCAGGGCCTGGCTATACACCATCGCCCAGAGAGATAAAGGGGAATGAATGAATGGGCATGGGAATCATGCAGAAGATCTCGGGCTAACTTCCCAGGCACAGGCCTGAGTGGGGGGAGAGGTCGAGCCTGATTGCAGAGTGGTACTGGGGGGAGCAGAGTGGCAGGCACTCCCTTCCCTCCTCCCACTTCCCCGCCCTGCCCCACAGAGAGCCCCTTTCACCTTCTTTCTGGGGCTTGTTCTTCTTCACCCAGTCAGACACCTGTCTCAAGGAGTCGAAGAAGAAGTCTCCCTCCTTCTGGCTGAAAACCTGGGGTGGGTGGGTGAGGGGGAGGCAGGGAGGTGTGTGGGTGGAGCTGCGTTGGGGTGGGGGGGTGGCGCTGGAGCAGTGGGGCCCAGCTGGGCCATACAGCCTGGTAGATTGAGTGCCATGTCGGGAGTACCAGTCAGTTGGGGTGGGCTCTAGGTCCACCACCCACTTTCCTTCTGACTGAGGTGGGCAGCAAGGGACCCAACCAGCACAGGTGGGGTGGGCGGCTGACGTCCAGGTTATTCTAGGTGGCCTCCACAGGCCACACCCCACCCGCCCGCCTGCCCGGCGCACCTTGTCGGCGATCTTGACAAAGAGGCTGCAACCCTCCCAGGAGGCCAGCTGCAGCTTGGCGGCGATGCTCTGGCACACGTCCCGCACCCGGGTGTTGGCACCCACCTCCAGCATCTGGGCAGAGAGGTGGTGAGTGAGGCCTTGAAAGCTGCTCGCCCCAGACAAGGCAGCCTGGGACAGCCCTGTGAAGCCCGATAGGCATGTTCCTGGCTGAGACGTGGGGTGGCCAGCTACGGGCCAGGGATGCTGAGCTCCCCTTCCAGAAAGAGCCCAGTTGTGCAGCCATAGAGCACATTGCCCCGGGGCCCAGGCCTGGCCTCCTGACTTGCTCTGAGAAGCCTGCAGCCAGATCGTGGCAACATTCGGTGTCGGACTTGATACCCCCAGGGCTGCAAAGGCCTTCCCCAGGACGGCAGCTCTGTCTCCTTGCCCACTCATGTCTGCTCCTTGGCCAGGGGCCTCTGCACCCCACTAGGTCCTGATGGGCCTTCCTCCTCCCAGCTGGCCCCTCTGCCCTCGCAGCCCCAGTCCCAGAGCTCTGCCCACAAAGCATACCCACAAAGCACTAGGCCAGGTCAGAAGCCTTTGGAGCTCCACAAGGCCCACAGCCTCAGCCTCCCTACCCACACTTCTGGCCTCCTCTCTCCCGGATTTGCTGTGCTTCACCAGCCTGTAACACCCAACTCGTGCCTTTGGGGAAGTCCTTACTTCTGACTCCCTGAGGCCACTCCCCTCCCGCTGCTCCCCTGGAGCTCCTGCACGCCTGGGGGCACAGCCTGTGCTGTGGGCCTCGGAGGCTGCATCCTGTCCCAGCCCAGACAGGACCTGGTTTGCACAGGGTGCTCAGGTCATGTTCATGGGGTCGATTTCTCAGGGGAGATGGAGGGGGCACTGCTGAGAATGGGCCTTGTTGATCCCATGTCCCTCAGCTTTCCCTGCACATCAGCCAGAAGGGAGAGGTGCCCGCAGCCCCCACGAGGCGGAGACCCTTGGGCAGCCCCGCCTATAAGCCGGGCTTTCATGCGGAGGGCAGGCCCGCCTCACCTTGCTGGTGTCATTGGGGAAGTAGACCTTGTGGCAGATGCGGGTGATGTTCTGCTCTGCGGCCTCCACCTCCACCTGGTGCAAGGGCTGCTTCCGGGGGCCTGCTCTGGAACAGGACAGAACACTGTGGACACAAGCCTGCCCACCCTACCCGCCGGGCCCTGGCCTCCAGGCCTGGGGGGTACTGTTTATGCTCCATCTGCCTTATATAGACAGAGACTTTCCAGCTAAGAACTATGTGTGAGAAAAAAACAAGGAAAAGCATCGGGACCCTGCCTAGGGTACTCAGCACACATGGCCCCCAGGGAGGCGGCAAAGGCAGGCCTGGTCTCACCCTCCAGGGACAAACATGAAGGCACCCAGGCCAGCCAGGCTGGGGTGGGATGCTGGGGTTGATCTGTGTTCTTGTTCTCACACAGCAGGGGCATCGGGCAGGGGCAGGCCCCACCTCCCCCTGCACGGCCAGGGCTGCCACTGAAGTCACAGGCTGCTCACTCTGCCAAGCCCAGGGGGTGACTTCTGTTCTCACCCCTCCCCCATGGCCACAGGGAGGCCACACCACAGGAGGCCGGAGGCACTGAAGAGAACCAAGACCAACCCAAGGAGAACTTCCCAACTGTGGGACAGACAAGGTGCACACAGACTGGGAGGGCTGGGCCTCTGAACTCGGCTGTCCTTGGCTGGGGCTGGGGCTGGGGCGGGAGGATGGACTGCTTGGGGCATCCAGGTCACCCTCTGGCCTCCAGGCAGTTCCCTCTGTGCCCTGGGCCTGTAGCGGTGGGGCTATGACATTGTCCAAGACCCCCTGTGTCTCATCCTCTGCCTGTCTCCCTGGGGCTCAGCAGCCTGGTCCTGCTTCCGCACACTGATGCTGGTTTCTGGAGAGGATGACTCTGCTGGTGAACTGCACCCTCACACCCACACACCGGGCTCGCCCAAACCTCCACTGGGTTGCCTGCACGGATAGGCACTGCTGACCCTGGGCCAGTGCGCCAGAGAGCATGGGGGCGGCGGGCTAACCTCAGAACCCTCTGGAGGCGGCGGCTGCAGTCAGGGGCCAGTAGCTTCTTCCTTCGAGTGTCCACAAACTTCTGGGCATGGGGCAGCAGCGCCTTGCTGGGCGGGAAGAGGCCCGTGCAGAGCCATAGCAGCTGCCAGCCCCGCTCCTCGCTGTGCCTGGGGGGGCAGAGGCGTAGTGAGGGAAGGGCCAGAGGGGGGTACTTGTCCTTGGGCACAAGTTCAAGGGGGTGCCAGATGAGGCACAGAATGACATTCTAAGGTGCCACAACTATAAAAGAAAGGCACCTGAGTCAGCTGGATAAGAGAGGGAAATGCATTTCTGCTGACTCATTCCTGCTATCAACGCCCATTCATCTTGAAATTGGGGTGGGGGAGGAGCAACTTAGAGATTGCCCTTGGGTGCTTGTTACCCTTGCTATTCCCCTGCTGGGGGGGTGGCCCTTGTCAGCCAGGAGGGCTCCTCCTGAGGCCCAGGCCAGCCCGGCATGTTGGGGAGTGAGGTATGTGATGTGACCCAAGGCCGAGGGTGTATGAGGGGAGGCTGGCCAGGGTGAAGAGGCACTGGGCCCAGGCAAGGCTGCACCATGCCAGCTGCTGCCCAACACCAGAGGGCTTTCATGCCACAGTCTCATCTGGGATGGGGAGGAGCCCTGTGTCCCTTCTGTGGAGGGGAGCATGAGGTTCAGTGGGCTATGGCCTGCTGAGTCACAGAGCAGAGCAGTGGGAGCAGGCCCCTGGCCTAGAGCTGACATTTCCCCTCTGAGCAATGGGCACAGCCTCCCGGGGCAGGACAGACGGACAACCCGCGTGTGCTGGTCACCCCCCAGCAGACCTGTTGGAGTTGTGTGTCAGCTGCTTCAGGATCTGGCAGTAGACCTCGTCCTGCAGGGCCACATCTTGGACGGCCAATGAGAAGATATGGTCTGTGAGCTCCAGGGAGGACCAGGCCTGTCTCGAGGGGTAGTCACCCATGTACTTGAGGATGGGTGCAGCTGTCAAGGAGAACTGGGCTGTGGGTGGCCCCCAGGAGAAAGAGTTACAATCTGTCATCTCAACTGGCTGCCTTGGCCCCATGCTGACCCTCACTCTGACCTGAGGCTGACCCCTGACCCTGACCTCAAGCTGATCCTCTGACCCATGGCTAGACACTGATCTATGACCTTGGCTCCCCACCAACCCCCACCTCAGTCTCTCATTAACCCGTGATCTGGCCCCTCCAACCCAGAGTCATACTGGCCCCTGACCCTGGCCACACACTAAGCCTTGACCCTGGCTTCACACTAAACTTCGACCTTGGCCTCACACTTACCCTCGGCCCTGGACCCACATTAATCCTTGACCCTAGCCCCACATTAACTCTTGACCCTGGCCTCACCCTAACCTTCGACCTTGGCCTCACACTTACCCTCGACCATGGACCCACATCAATCCTTGACTCCAGCCCCACACTAACCCTTGACCCTGGCCCTGCACTGATCCTGCCCCAGACACATGGCAAGCAGCATGCTGGCTCCGCCCTGCACTTTATGCAGCCAGCCCCCTCCCAGGGCAGCTGTGGGGCAGGGAGGGGTAGCGCCGGAGGGGAAGGATATCCATGAAGGTCTGGCAGGCGCAGTCCCGCAATTCGGCATTGGCATGGACACGCTTGAGCAGAGGCTGCCGCAGTGGCTCAGAGGAGTGAGCCCACAGGTGGCCCCGGGCCCGGGCGAACACGGCTTTGCTGACTGTCTCCTTCTCTGGGGCCCTGTCAGGATGGAGACCAGGCATGGGGACCGCCTCAGGGCTTCTCTCCCCTGGCTCTTCTTCTGCCCCGCCACCCCTCCCCACCCCCTGCACAGTAGGGACAGAGACCCAGGCTCCAACCAGCACCCCGTGGGGGCTGTGCCCTCTGCCCTCACTGGACTCATCTGTAAGGTGTGTCACTGCCACACCCTCCTGGCTCCTCTAAGACTGTTTGCTTTGCCCCCTCCCCCCACCCCTGTTTCCCTGGGAGGGTCAGGTCTGGGTGGGCACCTGAAGAACTCATAGGAAAATTCCTCCAGGGTGTGTGGCTTCTCCTTGGGCTGCTCCTCAGGCAAGGGCTCTGTGGACCCCTCCTCCTGGGCCACCAGCTTCCGCTTCTCAGGTGACATGGCCAGCAGGCTCTGTGGGGGCACAGGCTTGGGTATGCAGCAGCCACTGCCCACAAGGCCCCGCCTCAAAGCTCCCCCTGGTCTGGTAGTCTCGGGGAAGGGCCTGGCCTGCCCCCTCCTGTGTCACTGCTGACTCAGCCTCTCTGAGCCTGTTTCCTATCCCTTAGGGGGATTAGCGCTAACGGCTCTGCGGCCTGACCACTCCGTTTGGGGTGCAGCCAGCGGGGTTCCTCAGACTCATGGCCCATGCCTCAGGACACCTCTCCTCAGGGACATCTCTCACCCCTGCCCTATTGCCTGGTTCCCCTCCTTCAGTCATCAGCACAAACATCCCTCCCTCAGGGCGAGCCCCCACCTACAATTCGGCTCCCATAACAACCAGTGTTTCTTCTTGGAAGGAGTTTGCACATTGCAATTAATTGGCTGTTAATTGCAATTATCCCTAAGGACAGAACTGCTATTGTGTTCATTCCTGCATTGCAGGCACACAGTAGGTGCTCAATATGTGCATGTTGGAATGCCTGCCCGTTCCTGCCTTCAAAAGGTATAGCAGTGGTGGCTGGTCTTGGGGGCTGGGCTGGGTGTGTCGTGCGGGTAGCGGGACAAGGGCCTCCACGGCATCAGCTGTGGGTCAGGGTCCAAGTGAGGCAGAGGCTGAGGACAGGATGGTTTGGTCCCCCGGTGGGAGAGGAGGGAGGGGGCTCCCATCACTGAGCACCTGCTAAATGATGGCACTGCCCAAACACAGTCTGTGCCATCGACATGATCACCCTGCGGGACACTAGGGGCTGTGGAGTGACCTGATGCCAAGGTCACCACCGGCCTCTGCAAGGTGAGATGCTGGCCCCTGAGCTGGCTCCCGGTTAGCATCCCGGGCCAGGCTGCGTGGAGATGGCGTGCAGTTACCAGCAGCGGTGTCGAGGGTTTGATGACGGTGGGGATGATGTAGAGGCAGGCCATGGGCACCAGCCCCGTCCGTCCTGTCCTGTCATTCTGGCCCAGGGTCCAGTTCTCAGAGGCCAGTAGCCCCTGCTTCTTCGTCAGGATCAGCAAGTCCCCCTTCTTGAAGGTCAGGAGGGTGGCATCATCTGTGAGTGCAGGTCACACACGAGAACAAAAACCCTCTGTTTACTGGGCTCTGCAGGGCCGACTGTGCTGGCACTCCTGTTTTCCTTGACTGGTGAGGAAACAGGCCCAGAGCAGCTGCCCGGCCCCAGGCAGTGAGGGGTGAGGATGGGAGCCTCCAGCTGGGGCCCAGGGCACAGGCCCTTCCCTACACCCACCCATGTGTACTCCAAGACTCAGAGGCCAGACCAGGAGATGGCCTTTGGGGCAGAGGCGGGTGGACAAGGGAAGGGAGAATGTACAGGCTGGGGTCACAGGCTGAGCCTGAGTGATAGTAAAGTGGCCCACTGTGTGACCTCGCTGTGAGAGGGAGATGCTGAGGAGAGTACCTCCCTCCCTCCTGGGGCTGGGGTGGGACTGAAGGCGGGGCCCGGGATCACACACTGGGGGCTGACTGGAGACCCCAAGCCCTGCCCTGCCTGGGCAGCGGTCAGTCAACACCTGCTGCCTCCTCTGTGTCCCAGGGGACACAGAAGACCCTGCAGTTCCTGTGCGCGCCCTCTGGGGCTCCCCACACCCTCCCCATAGCCCATGACCCTCTGGTCCCCTCTCTGCAGCTCTGGCTGCTTGGACTCAGACCCCTAGCCTTCCTAGCTGTGTGACCTTGGGCTGTCTACTTCTCTTCTCTGAGCCCCCAGTTCTGGTCTATAAAGTAAGGTCACAGGGTGGGGCCGATGCTCAAAGCACAGCTGGCCAGGTTGTTCACTGGGGTGTTGGGGGCACACACTCCACCCTTCTCCATGTTCTGAGCCAAGGTCCACCCTGGAGGACTTGAGATCACCTTTTCAAAACCCCTCATTTTACAGAAGAGGAAACAGAGGCTGAGAGAGGGAAGGGTCTCTCCCAAAGCTGTCTACCATGGTGGGCTGTAAACCCTCTCCCACTTAGCAACCCCCAGCTGGCAACATTCCATCAGCTGGCCTGGGCCCCTTGCTGTGCCCCTCCCAGCTAGGCACCTGTGGCCTTCCTGTCCTGCAGGGCCATGGTGAACACAGACCGCTCCTTCAGGCCCTCCAGGAACATGGCCACCAGCTCTGCGATGGCCACACTGCTGGGGGTCGCAAACTCGTACTCCTCTTCGTGCAGCGTGGAGAGTGTCAGCCTCTGCCCGCCCTGGGCTGCCCTGAGGGGACACAGCGCACTGCATGACCAGAGGCCTCCGCCCTCCCCTGCCTCCTCCCCTCGTTGGCCTCAGAGGGGAGGACTCTCTGGAGCTACAGGGGAGGGGCTGTAGTTCACCAGGGCCAGAGGCAGAACCTGAAAGGGGTCTGAGCCTAGGTCAGCCAGCTTCTCCCAAGTGGCCAGGGCGGGGCAGAAGGGGTTATGGCCCGAGCTCAGGGTCCCTGGCCTCAGAGGCAGTGGGAGGCACCCAGCTCCAGTATGTGAGGGTCAGCTCTGGGGAGGTGGGGAGGTGGTGGTGGGGACAGGGCCACCACGGGGCAGTACACAGAGCGTGCGAGCTGAGATGGGGCACCTGCTCTGCCATGTGTTAGCCCTGGGACCTCCAGCGAGCTGCTGAGCCTGTGTGTGCTCGGGTTACTCATCTGCAGAATGGGTGGTGCTGCAAAATCTTCATCGCATACGTGGGCGTACCCAGCACGCAGCCAGTGTCAGCAGATGGGGCCTGAGCCTGCCCATCACAGTGGGAGCCACCACAGTGGTCGTGCTAGGCTGGGTGTGCTTTAGCCAAGAGGCGACGCTGGCAGGGCATGAGAGGACACCCCAGAGGGCTCGGAGGCCTTCCCAGTAGGGACAGCCTTGGAGGCTATTGGGGTGGGGTTGGGCGTGTTGGAGGCCCGGCCCAATCCTGAGGCGGCACACACCCAGGCCCTGCCCCATCCCTCTCCCTGGAGATCCATGTCCTCAACTACCCTCAGCATGAGCAGTTCCAGACCATGAACAGAGAAGGGGCCTGCTAAATGAACATGCACCAAGAGGGCTGCTACAAGCTTGGTGTGCTCATTTCCAGGTGGATCTGGGTTTCTAAAAACGGCCCCTGAAGGGGGCAATGTTAATGCACAGAAACAGTATTTAATAGGGGACAAGTAGGGTAGTTCCCTACTCAAATGACCATCAGACCATACCTGTTGATCCTTGCCCCCCACCCACCTCCGCTGGCTCCCGGGGACAAGAAGCCTCCTCTCTCCTCTCTCCCTGAGCCCCCAGATGCATTGTTTCAAGGACTCAGATTGTGATTTGGGGCATCTTCTCTCAGGGCACCCACCTGTTGGTGACCAGGCCCGTGACCTCTGGGAAGGAGAGTTCTAGAAGCACCTTCTCTCTCTGGTCCAGGAAGTACAGCCCTTTCCAGTTCACAGCTAAGATCAGCTTAGTCTTGGGCAGTCGAGGGCCTGGAGGGAGGATAGGTGATGTGAAGTCTGGGCTGGCCCCAGGGCCCAGGCTTCCCCAGCCTTTCAGGTGTCATTACCGGAGAGTGTGGTGACTTCAAACAGCCGGGAGAAGAGCAGTGGCCACTGCAGGCGAGCCATGTCCACCACTTGCTCCCGCACAGCCAACACTGTTGCCTGCTTCTGGGTGTACGGCGCCTGTGGGGGCGAGAGCCAGGGCTGGGGACGCCGGTGTCACCTCCACCATGCATCTCTCATCCTCCACCACTGCCTGCATCACCTGCCACCCCATCCTGTCCTAATCCCTCACCCAGTGTTCAGTTTGTTTATGTGATGAACCATTCTGTGAAGTTTCTACCTTAGGTAGGGCAAAAGCCCGGTGAGGGTTAGGGGCTGGAGAAGCTCTGGTGGGCTGGCTTCAGCCCTCTGTTTGCCTTCTTTTGGGTGAGGACCCTTCATGAAGTGGTTTTGAGAAGAGAGGAAGGCTTTACACTTCTTTAATGTCTGGATGCCAAAGGGTTGTAGGGTAGGCTGCTGCTTGGTGTGTCTCAGCAGAGGCTGTGTGTCTATGTCTGTGCATGTGTGTCTGTGTGCGTGTCTGTGCATGTGTGCATGTGTGTGCACGTGTGTCTGTGCACGTGTCTGTGCATGTGTCTGTGTGTGTCTGTGCACGTGTGTGCATGTGTGTCTGTGCATGTCCGTGTCTGTGTCTGTGTGTGTGTGTATGCATGTCTGTGTGTGCATGTCTGTGCATGTGTCTATGCATGGGTGTGCATGTGTGTGTGCATGTGCATGGCTGTGCATGGGTGTCTGTGTGTGTGCATATCTGTGCATGTGTGTCTGTGCATGCATGTCTCTGTGCATGTGCATGTCTGTGCATGGGTGCCTGTGTGTGTGCATGTCTGTGCATGTGTGTCTGTGCTTGTGCGTGTTTGAGTGTGCATGCATGTGTGTGCATGTGCATGTCTGTACGTGTGTGTGTGCATGTCTGTGTGTGTGTATACACGTCTGTGCATGTGTCTGTGCACGTGTCTGTGCATGTGTGTCTGTGCATGTGCATGTGTGCCTGTGCATCTGTGTGTCTGTGCATGTGTGTGCATGTGTGTCTGTGCATGTGTCTGTGGGTGTGTGTGTCTGTGCATGCGTCTGTGTGCATATGTCTGTGCATGTGTGTGTGCATATGTGTCTGTGCATGTGTCTGTGTGTGTGTGTCTTTGCATGTGTGTCTGTGCACCTGCCTGTGCATGTCTGTGCACGTGTGTGTGTGTGCATGTTGGTGCATGTGTGTCTGTGCGTGTGTGTGCACGTGTGTCTGTGCACACATCTGTGCATGTGTGTATGCATCTGTGTGTCTGCATGTTCATGTCTGTGCACATGCATGTCTGTGCATGTGCGTGTCTGTGCACATCTGTGCACGTGTCTGCACGTCTGTGCACTCATGTCTGTGTGCATGTCTATGCCTGTGTCTGCATGTATGTCTCTGTGTATCTGTGCACATGTATCTGCATGTGTGTCTTGAGCACCTGTGTGCATGTGTCTGTACCTGCTAGTGTCTGTGTGCATGTGTCTGTGCATGTCTCTGTATGTCTGTGGACATGTGCCTGTGCACCTGTGTCAGTGTGCATGTCTGTGCCTGTGTCTATGAGTTTGTCTGGGTGTGTGCTTGTACTTGCTCTTGCATACACACACAGGCCCCAAGGGTCTGTGTGTTGCTCTGTGCCTGAGGCCGGTTTGGTGTATCTGTGTCACTGGTACCTCCCTGTCTTTCTTCTCTGACTTCTTCTTCTGTATATTTGGGGTGTCTCTCAGGGACCCCATACCTTCATCTGAACTTCCTGTCTTCTAGGTCCCTGTTTTCAAGTTTTCTTCCTTCTCTGTCTTGACTCCTCTCCCCATCATCTGTCCCATAACTGGTTATAATATACAGTGGAGCTTTCTTTTTACTGCCTGTTCGTTGAATAAAATGCTACTTGTTTATTCCTACTTTCAAAATTGGCTGGGAATCTTCATATGCTGGTTTTGGGACTGTAAGTTGATACACCATGTCTGAAGGGTGGTTTGGCATCATGCAATCTGCCTAAAATGTTTTAGAGCATTCATACACTTTGACCCAGTAATCTCACTTCTAGGAATTTATCCTGATAAAATAACTGTCAAGTGTATAAAAGTGGCTCATCTCATTGCTTTAATAATGAAAAATGGGGAATAACCTTAATATTCATCAATAGGAATCAGTGAAGTGAATTACAATTCATTAATGCAATGAAGTACTATGTAGCCATTACGTACGAAGATAGAAGTTGGTATTAGTGACATAGAAAGCTAGCTCCACGTTATGTGATTAAGTGAACAAGCAGGTTGGAAGTTGTCAGTATGGTACGGTCCTGTTTTTAAGTGTATCTCTCTCTCTCTCTCTTATCACACCCACATCCACGTCTCAGCTGTATACTGAAGAACAGAAACTAGTCTGGAAAGATACACACCACAGTGTGATGATTTCTTTGATGTGATATTATCAGTGATACCATATTTTTCTTTGTATTTGTGTTTTTGGTTTACTTGGTACACGTTTTAAATGTTTAATAGAAATGTCCATGAAGCTATGCTCACTTTGGAAAAAAAGTGGTGGGTGAACATTTCATAATTCTTTACCCTCACCCATTCCCCACTCCCCAAATTACTTGTGTTCATTTGGGTTCATGTGCTCCTCTGCCCCCCTGCCCCTGTCTTGGGGCCCTAAAAATCCATGGTTTCGCTCCTGCAAATGCACCCACTCAGGCTGGAAAGCACCAGAAATGACCAAGAGGACTTTGCTGTCCTGACCAAGGAGTATTCCAGGGGATGCTAATGAGCGTCTGTGGAATAGAGGTTCTGTGGTCAAACACGTTTGGGCAATCAGGCTTCTTTCCTGCAGGACTTCTTAGAGCCTTGAATAAGGGACAGTGCATTGTGACTCACCAGGAATGGACAGAGCAAGTAGCGTTTCCCAAGTCAGAGGAGCATGACTGAAGGGGCCCTCTTTGGGAATGGCCCTCTAGGATGGCAGAATGGAGGCTGCCTCCCAAGGCTGTCTCCTCTGCACCTTTCTGAGCTCTGATGGCACTGTTGTCTGTGCCCTCTGTTGGCATTTATCTTCTTGACACTGGGCTGTCACCCAGGGATTGCCTTCTTATTCCCTGCCTTGTCCTTGGTCTAGAGTGTCACGGGGTCATCAGGGGTCATTAACCTCCAGGCTTTTATCCTTGGTGCCCCCACATGCACAGTTGTCCCACAGCAGCCGCAACAGCTGGGCCTGGACACCTGAGACAGTTGTGCCCTGCAGGCCCCTGGGAAGAAGGGCACTCCAACAGAGGAGCAGAGGGATGCAGCCCAGGCTGGGAAATCAAGTGGTGTGTCTTGGCTGTCCCCTCCTGGGTGGGAATTCTGGGGGTATAGCAGAAACCTCCTCTGATCAGGGTGATTCTGAGAATGCTGCCTGGGGCTGGCTGTGGGGCAGGGAGGTGGTGAGCCTCTGGGGAGCTCTGCCCTGGGCTGTGTCCACATGGGGAGGTGGACGCAGCAATGGTCTCGCTCTCCAGATCAGCACATCACATGCGGGGCCTGGGAGGGGCTGCAGAGGGGCTGGGGGAGGCTGGGTGTCAGGAGAGGAAGCCTCCAAGGGCAGGCCTTCGATGACGAGGCCACACCACAATTGGTGGTCAGCAGCTGTGGATGCCCTCACAAACCAAAAGGCTGAGGCCAGCCCAATGCTGCAGGAGGGGCTGCCACAGGGGTGGGCTGCCCTGCCCGTATTCCCAGGTTCACTTGAAAGGAAGGGGGAAGGTGGAGTGGCCTGCAGCAGGGAGCTGAGCTGAATGAAGCTGCTTACCCTGACGAGCCTCAGCTAGCCTTAATTGGCAAGTTCAGGTTTCCCCACTACCAGGGGGCCAGAGGGTCCATGGCGAAGGCCAGTTATGGAGACAAAAGGGCTCCATCCCCTCTGCACACCCAGGCTGCAGGGTGGACCGCAGAGTGGACGCACTCAGGTTGCAGGTAGACACTCAGCCCCACCCCCCCAGAAGTGTCCAGGCTGCGGGGAGGCTGACCTTGGTGTGGGCAGCAGCAACAAGGCTAGCCCACTTCTCAGGGGGCTTGGTCCTGTACAGCTTGGCGGGAATGCAGCTGGGCAGCAGTTCCTGGATGGCCTCACTGCTCGCCGAGGCACCGAGCTGCTCGTAGCAGTGCCGAGCCAGCAGCTCCACCAGCTCTTCCTCCTATACAGCCCCATGGGCAGATGTGGCAGGTGAGGGGAGACAGGGCCTCTTCTGTATGCCCCGCCCCTCACCCAAGCTCCTCAACACAGCAGAGCTGACAGGCTGCTCAGACAAGAACTGGCCCTCTAGGCAGGACCTGCCCCTCCCCAAACGAAACCACCACTTGCCTTGACTGGGCCCAGTGCAGGTGGCGCGCCTGTTGGCAGATGGAGGACAGGGGAGACTCCCTGTGCTCCTCTACCACCCCTCTGGCAGCCAGGGAGTGGTGGGGGGCTCAGGGCCTTGGGTGGAACCCCAGTGTTGCTACTACCAGTAGGGTAAACGTGGACCAGGCCTCAGTCCTCAGTGATCAACGGGCTTCTGTCAGGACTCAGATGGATCCTGTGCCAGAGCCTGGCTCCAAGCAGCCCTGCTCTCCCCAGGAGACCAAAGACCTGCAGAGCCACTGGCTGGTCTGCCCTCTGGGCCCGTCCCCTCTAGGCTCCCTGCCTCCAGGGCCTAGTCCTGCGCTGCTTCCCCCACCCACCACCCCATTCTGCTTCTAGGACTGCTGAAGCTGCCTCTGGCCCACTCTAGCCACCAGAGCGGCCTGCTGACTCACTCTCAGAGAGGTCTGCACCTGCCAAACAGGTGCAGAGCTGCTCCCAGGCCTTCATGAGCACGGTCTCGGCTGTCACAACAACCTTACAAAATAGGTACTGTCACTCTTGGCACTTTCCAGACGTGGGCCTGAGGCTCAGAGAGGGACTTGCCGAGGTCACACCACCAGGAAGAGGCAGAGATGGGACCTGAACTCGGGCACTAGGGCTCTTGCCACGTTCTTGACCACCAGGCCTTGCTGCCCCGTAAACAGAGCTGCTGTGGTGTGGCCAGGCTGGGCCTGGGCCCGACTGTGGGGCCTTCCCCACCTGTTGCTGATTCCACGGACCCCATAGGCCTGGCAGACCTTGGTCCAAGGGGGAGGTGATGAAGGGCTTAGAGGGGATGCTGCACCCCCAGCAGAGTGCCCAGGACCTGCTCCAACTGTCTCCTTGGCACCACCCTCTGCCCTCTGCCTTCTTGTCTGTGGTGCTTCTATGGGCGACGCACCCCACTCTCCCTCTGCCCCTCTGCATTCTGTTCTCAGTTACCTTCTGAGTCCAAGGCCCCCTCCCCCACAGAGTGCTCCCCAGTTACTGCAGCCCAGGCTAACCCACCCTTGTACTGACCCCCTGCCCTGGAACCCGTTTCTCTCTCAGGCCCCTCACCTTCTCGAAGCTGTACTCGCTGGACCAGACTCCGTGGAGGACTTGGCGGTAAATGAGCTCGGTGCTGACAGGGTCCTCCTTGGAGTCGTGCCAGGGGGTGAAGAACTCCTTCCGGAAGTAGATGCGCCAGGGCGACTGGCGCTCGCTCTCGCCCCGCTCCCGGGCCAGCTGCTCACACTGGGCAACGGCGTCCATTACGTGATCGCGCCCACTGCCCAGTGACCAGAACTGAGGCCAGAACCGGGCAGCGGGTTAGTGGCCATTGGGAGTCCACAGCCCAGTGGATGCCCACCCTCTGTACATGTGTCTGGAAGGTGTGCTCACTACCAGTGGTTGCTCCTGGAGGGTGGGGACCTCAGAGCTCAACGTGGGTGCGGGGCCAAGCTGGCCGCCATCCACTTCCGCTGAGTGGAGGAACTGCTGGATGCCTGAGGGGTTTCTACAAACGGGCATGGCCAAAGGAGTCACAGGTTGACCCTGGCCGAGGTGACACAGCAGTAACACCCTGGTGGGTTGGTGTGAGTGTGTCTGCATCTGAGGGTGTGAGGTGTCCATGGTGCAGGCGTGGGAATATGGGTGTCTAGGTAGGCTGCCATGCAGAGTTACAGTGGGCTGTGCAGTGTGACCCTGTCTACCTGGCCATGTCGGAGGGTGATTTGGAGCAGGCTTGTTGGAGTCCCTAGCTATCAGTGTGCGGGCCATAAGCAGGGGGACTCTGGCTGCCCAGTGTGGCAGGGAAGCAACAAGGGTTGTGTGTGACACTGTTTGGGGCTGAGGTATGGCTGCTGGAGTTGTGTATGTGAACATTTGGGCTGCTGGTTGTGAAGGCATTTCTGGGTGTGTATATGGTATACATACGTGTGTATATGTGTATGTGTATGCATGTGTGTATCTGTGTATGTGTGTATCTGTGTGTGTGTTTATGTACACACATGTGTGTGGTGGCCAGGTGGTCCTGGGGTGAGAGCTTGAGCTTCGGGGCCCTCTGGCCTGGGTGTGTGAGGCCAGGACTCATACCTTGTTGTACACGGCGACATAGAGGGAAAAGCCCAGGTGGTCGCTGAGGCCCTGCTTATGGGCGATGTGCAGGCAGACTTCCCGCGCCGTGGAGGCTGAGTCGACCGTGATGGTCAGGGTCTCTCCAGTCACCATGGTGATATGGACTGGGATGTGCTTTTTGGACTTGACAGCCTGGGTGGCAGTGGAGACTTAGGACCCTCTGCCCCGCAGGCTCCTGGGCTTGGCTTGTGGCTTCAGGAACCTCAGAGCGAAGGCCAGCCCACCACCACCATCCCACCTATGCGCCTCTCCCAAGCCCATGTTTCCTGAGGCCTGGGACCTTCTGAAGCCCCAGTGTCACCCACAGGGCTCGGTCTGAGTTAACAGTGAGGCCCCACTCACATCTGTTGCCTGATCCAGGGGACACTACACACACCCGCAATCCGTGTGCTTCCACAAGGCCCCCCCACCCCGAGCTCCAGGGATGCAGCCGGCAGGCAGGCTGTCCCACTTTTAGATCAGAGCCCTGAGCTTTGGCAAGGCTGTGACTTAGAATCATACATGGTCAGAAGTCCAATATCTGGAACACTTTCGGGTCCACGAAAGCTATCTTTCCTCATACTCACACAGTGGCTACCAGTTCACCTGCAATCCCAGGGCTTCTGAACCAAGCAGGTAAAATGAAGTGGGTAGGGAGGGAGATGTGGTGGGCTCACGTGGCTGGTGAGAAGTGGGAAGGGGTGTGACAGGAGATGACCGACAGCCTCCTGGTGTAGGATAGAGGACCTGCCCTAGGAGAAGGTGTCCACACTGCCTGTCGCCTGTCCCTGCCAGCACCTACCTGTAGCTCCAGCCAGGAGGGGGGCTCCGTGCGTACCCCATTGGCATAGGTACGTCTCAGGCGCTTAGCACAGAAAGGTCCGTAGCCTGCCGGCCCTTGGCCGATGAAGTTCAGCAAATACTGGCAGGTGAGGAAGGGGGAGAAGGAGAGGAAGACACTTAGAACGGAGACCAATTTTTATTTCCTGTCCAAACAAAGATTAAAAAAAAATTATAACACTTAGTGTTGGTGCAGTGTGGTGAGACGGGCACTCACACGCTTAAGAAGGAACATGAATCAGTACAACCTTTCTGGAGCCCTGGTGGTGCTGTGGTTAAGAGCTCGGCTGCTAACCAAAAGGTTGGCTGTTCAAATCCACCAGCCACTCCTTGGAAACCCTATGAGGCAGTTCTGCTCTGTCCTGTAGGATCGTTGAGTTGGAATTGACTTGATGGCAATGGGTACAACCTTTCTGGGGAGCAATTTGGCAATACGTACCATAGTCTTAGAGTGTTCATACTCTTTGACCCAATAATTCAAGGCTATCCTAAAAATATATATTTTTTAAATCACAGTGTTATTTATAGTAATAAACAACTGGAAGCCTCATAAATGTCCATCAACAAGTTAAGTATCTTCTGGGACAACTGCATAATAGATGGCGTTAAAGCTGCTTCCTGCTGCCTCCCAGGGGAGAGGTGAGGAAATCCAACTGATTTTCTGTACAGTCACAATTATGGCACTGTAACACCGCAAAAGGCCAGAAGAAAATATCAAGAGGAGTTACCTGTTGGGGTGACTTTTCTTTTCAGAGGTTCTCCATTTTCCACATATTACTTTATAGACAGAATAAAAAGTTGTACTACAGAAGTGAAGCCTGGGGTCTGTAGCACTTGGGAACATCTCCCCCAGTGTGCCCCTCTACTTTCCGTTCTAAGGACTGGAAGAGGTGCAGCAGCCGACCCCTAGTCGGTGCCCCTCCCAAGATGCCTTTGTCTTTCCTTCACACATTTCATCCATGGTCTCATTTTAGCCTCAAAAGAGCCCCAGTGAAATGGCCCTGTGGACACTGAGTTGAGGCTTGGAAGGAGCTAGATTCAGTATCCTCTTTTACAGATGGGGAAACTGAGGCCCAGGGAAGCGCAGGCAGGGCTGCTTATCCTGGCCTGCGGTACAGGAGAACTAGGAGAACTAGCCACGGACCTGGATTTCTGGAGCCACTCTTCCCACCACCCCACCCTCCCCCGCCCAGCCCTCCCACCTTCATGAACCTCTCTGAGGGCGGGAAGCAGCCCAAGCAGAGGCTAAGCAGGATCCAGCCTCGGGCCAGGCTGCTCATTTTGAAGTTCTCTGAGAGCTGCTTGCAGATCTGGCAGTAAATCTCATCCCTGAAATAGACAGACCAGTGGGATGGCAGGCTGGGGGCTGGGAGAAGGGGGAGGGGGCAACTGAAAGGAGACACACGTCTCTTCTGCACCCTGGGTGGCGTCATGTCCCCTGTCCGGGCCCACCTGGACCCTGTCATTTCCCAGGACCAAGCCACCTCTGCTGTTTTCCCAGGGCCTGGGGACCGCACTCCCTTTAGCCCTCATTTCCTGTCTTACCAAACAAACCCCAGCTCCTCTTCCCATCATCTCGTCCCCTCAGGCGTTTGCTCTCTCTCTCACTTCCTCACTTGTCTGCCCCACAATGTCCTTATTATGTTACTCCCTCGGCCCTCTCTGCCCTGGCCTTCAGCTGTAGGCATGGATGGAGGAGGTCCCCATGGGTCTCCAGCAGCATCCCTGCCCTTTGCACCACCCGGTCTACTCACAGTTATTTCAAACCTTCTGTCTCTACCTTGAGGCCCTACCCCCTTCCCTGAATGAGGCCACTCATCCTCCACTGCAGAGAGAAAAAGGGGACTTCATGGGAGAACCCTCAACTCCTCACTCCTGACCAGCTCCCACCCCTACAGGCTCATGAACCCCTCCTTTCTGTCTCCTCTTGCAGGGCAAGGAGGGAGGTTCTCCCAGATCCTTCCTCCCTGACTCAAGCCTCCATCATCTTAATGTCCCATAAGCCCCATTTGGATGTCCCATAAGCCCCTCAAATCCAACATATCCAGAGGCCAACATCTTTCCCCTAATACCCAGCAATGTGCTGATGAAAGTCCTACAACCAACTCTCAAGGGAAAATAAGCCCTGATTTGTTGCATTTGCCAATTTCCATGGTGTAAATATTCCCACAAAGGCCCATTTCAAGCTACTGTTGTCATCCCTAAACACAGAGTTGGGAAGAGATGTGCAAAGTTGGCTCTCATGATCTGGAGAGTCATCTCCAGCCCACCCTCACTTTTTGTATCACCTTCATCCTAGACTTCTTCCTTCCTCTCATCTCCCAAATCCATTCAGTGCTGCATCCTACCATCCGCCTCCTGATGTTTTCTCTGTCCCCTTGTCTCCTACTCCCTGGGCCATCCCTCATGAGCTGTCTCTGACCTCTGGAACAGCCCCCTCCTGGTCTCCTGCCCTTAGGCTCCAACTCTCCATGTTGTTGCCTGGGAGATCTTTCTAGAAATCAATTATGATCATGGTCCTCTCATGCTTAAAACGTTTCCCCCCTGCCCTTAGGACTGAATCCAAACTCCATGCCCCAGCTGAGAAACTTGGGATTCCAGACCCATTAGGCTGTTTCAAGGCACTGTGACCTTGTTTGCCTTACCCCTTCTACCTATGAGCACCTTTCCTCCTTCTCACCTCACCTGGTCCACGAAAGCATTAAGACTACTTCTCTTTGGTACCCCTACTGGACCCTGAACAGATTCGCATCTTATCACATCCCATTACTGTGGCTTTCCTGGTCCTTCCGGCCCACAGACTAAGTGGTGAGCTCCTCAAGGATAAAGACTCATCTTCTTCCTCTTTCCATTTCAAAGCTCAGCCCGTGGCCTGACCCTGAGTGGGTACTTAGTACATGTTAATTGAATGTGTGACCAGATGTGGGATGAGGAATTTGCTTTTGTCTTGGATTTGGCTTTAAAGCCAAGGACAGATAGATGATAATATCCAACATCGTAAAGAGACATTCTCTTAGGAGTTACTAAAAGACGACAGAACCAGTCCAGCCACCATACCACCTCCAGCCTGCATATGGGAAGACTGGAACTTTGGAAGGAGATTCCTGGAAGGCACTTCATAGGAGTAGAGAGATATCTGGCCTATTTCCACTCCCTTCAAGTGACGGGGGTGAGTGGCACTCAGGGGAATCCCAGGACAATTGCTAATAGGAATGGGGGCTGTCTGTCAGAGACAAGACATATCTATCTTACTCCCCATCCAAGGCGTGCTGAGTTGCAGAAGCCCATCAGCCCACCACAGGGTACTGAGCTAGAGCACAGTGACAGGGTTCTTGAGAATGTTTCACTGACTCATGTACTCTGGAGTTGGAGGTCTCCGTGAACAGAAACTGGTGCCTGCTTCCTCCTGGGGAATTTAAGCTACACTTGAGGGCAGGATGGAGACAGAATAGTGAGGATCCGGGAATTGCACTTGTATTGTTTGGTGGGACAAGGATGAATGAGCTTCCTATTGCCCAAGAGAATGCCATGGAAGGAAATGGGCTGAGGCATCTTGATGGGATCCCTCACAAGCAGGCAGCCCATCATTCCAGAAGTCTACAGAAGAGGCTGTGGGACATTCCACTGGGGGCTGGAGTTGGCAAGGGAGCTCACGTGATCAGTGAGTGTTCCATCCTCAGTTGGAGACTGACACTGTGTGGAAGTTCCTGCAGAGGGTTTTATCCGAAGAACCCACAATGCACCTCACTGAGACACAGCTTATAGATGTCTGCTGTATTGGAGGACATGGTGGCCAGTGAGGTTTATGGCTTAAACCATGAGAGAGCTACCAACAGCACAAACAAAGTTAAAAAAGTTGCCCAGTCAGTGTCATGCAAGGGAGCTAAAACTCAGATAGAAGCCGTGTAGCTTTACTGGCTTGAAGAATCAGAGGACAGAGTTTAGGGTAACCATACCAGCTGAAAAGTGAGGAGGAAAATCTCAGAAAGGAGAGAACCGGAGGAGGGGAGACCTAAATCCTGCATATAATCCTAAATCTCTGGCCTGACCCTTCATCTCTGGACATGTGAGGTTGACTGCAGGCAGTCCAGCTATGACTAAAGTAACTGAAAAGGGACTCCAGCTGCTGCCTGCACAGGGGAGACAAAGATTGAATCCAGCCAAGTTAATTGCCTGCTAAAGCAAAAAGTCAACACTCTTTGTAGGAATATAACAGAATCTAGAGTTTTTAAATGTATTCAACCTCAATGCCCAGGATGCAGGACATGGTGTCTAGTCTTAGACCTACGCACTGAGGAAATAACAGTAAAGTACTAGACATACAAGGACATAACAGGAAAACATGACAAACCTCATGAGAAAAGGCAGTAAATGGAGACCAGCTCCAAGATAACCCAGATGTTTAATTTAGCAGAAAAAGATTTTAAAACTATGCTCAGATATAAAGGAAATATGTTTACAGTGAATCAGCAAATAGGAACTCTTGGCAGAGAAAAAGAAACTATAAAAAAAGAACCAAGTGTAAATTCTAGGTATAAAAATACAGCATCTGAAGTAAAAAAAAATAATTACCAGATGAGCATAACAGCAGATTGGGGAAGAAAGAAAAAAAGATCAGTGAATCTGAAGACAGATCAATTAAAATTATCCAACCTAAAGAACAGAGAGGAAAAAAAAGAAAGAGAAAATAAACAGAGACTCAGGGACCTGAATGACAATATTAAAAGGTTTTATACAGGTTTAGTCAGAGTTCCAGAAGAAGAGGAGAGACAGAATGGAGCAGAAAAAAATTTTTGAAGAAATAATGGTCAATAATTTCCCAAGTTTGCTTAAAGAATATAGTATAAAATAAGTGAATCCCTAAAATACAGTAGTTTAACCCTTAAAGCATTACCTGCTTATTAAAATCTGCATGGAAACCCAATCCCTGTAAAGCAAATTGTATAAAGCAAAAATATATATAATATAAAGGAACTTGCTCATTTATATGGGTCCTGCACTAAAGCCTGCTCTAAAATGAATCACCAGCCCTTGATGAATCTGTGTTCATAAATCTAGGTTTTACTCATGGGTTTTCTTAATGCAGAGCAAGTAGAGAACCTTTGGTGGCTATATTATTTGCTGTAATGAGACCCAGTCTGCAGGCCCCAGGACAGGGAACAGAGAGGTAGGGTGTCTCCTGGGGAGCAAAAGGGAGGCTATGGACATGGGTGAGAGCCAATGTGGGGAGCCGCTGTTCTGAACGGAGGGGTGGGTGTGGGGACAAACCTGAGGCTTGGCCGTAGGATGGCATGGGCCACAATGAAGTGTACCTTCTCCAGGTTGGACATGGGTCGGTCTGAGATGGGGCTGTCAAGCTCAAATGCCTTTTCTTTGACGCTAAGCTGGCTGGCCACCTTGAGACCAAAAGATGGCAGTCAGGACAGTTGTGACTCCCCGTTTGCCAAGGAGGATGTCAGGGCTCTGGGAGGAGCGATAGCCTGGAGCCCCGCGTTAGGCTAGTGGCAGAGCTAAGACTAGAACTGGAATCTCCTAGACCTGGGCTCACCTGGCTTGTGATCTGGGAGGACCGCCTCAGCTTCATGGAGGAGATGTCCTTGGTCCCTCTGTCTCTGTGGCTGGGCCTCTGTAGGAGGAGGGAAGTTCCCAAGGGAAGGTGAGCCGGGCCCTCGCTGAGGGAGAGTGGGTGGCCTGGTGGCAGCTCCTTCTGCTCCAGGAGGGAGCTCAATGGTTCGAGCTCTCACGAGACAGCCACAGACAAGCCACTTGCCCAACCCTCCCCTGGGTTTTCTGCCCACCTTCCCATTAGGTTACCCACTATAGGCCCCAGAGCCCTCTGCCCTTCTGCCTTCCGCTTCTTGCCCTTGCCTGCCCCTGCCTCGGGTGCCGACATGGACCTCCTTGGTGGGCTTCTCTTCTCCTTGCTGTACCCATCCTACCTGAGGCCTCCTCCAGGGACAGCCTCCCTGCTGCTCCTGCTCATACCCTGGGTGTCCCATGGGCAAGCTGTCATGCTGTTGACGCGACAGTCCCTAACAGTTCTATGGGCTCTGTGGGACTAAGGTGGGCTTGTCCCTGGGTTCCCATGCATGGCTCGGGCTTGTTCCAGAGTCCTTGGGGTGGAGATGACTTAGGACAAGGGGGGATGGATGAATGGCCCTCTGCCTCAGAGCTTTCATTCACTTCTTAGCCTCAGCCACGGAGATCACACCTGCTTCACATTCCTCCAGCCCAGCCAGATCTTTTCGAGACAATGGTCACCACCTGCCTGCCTGATGGCTGCCCCAGCCTCCTGCATCACAGCCTCACACTCAGACCGAGGTCTGCATCCCTCAGATCTCGACCTCCTCCCTCAAGCCCTCAGGGGACCCCATGCACCTGGCCCCCCCAAACCCCAGGGCCTCCATGATGCCAGCTCTAGTCGTCCTCCTGAGTGCTTCTGCACCTCTCCCCATGCTCCCTGCACCCCATCTCACCCATGACACTGACTCCACACAGCCCTCTAGGCTGGGGCAATCCCATCTCACCAAGCCACTCCTGGTCGACTTACAAAGCCCAGTGCAGGCCCCCACCCCCCACATCTCACTGCATTCATGCTTCAGGCGAGCAGAGTCATCCCTGCCTTCTAGGTGGCTGCCTGGGAATCAAACCAAGAGAGAAGCGACTGGCCTATAGGCGTTCCATCACCAACAGCATCGGCTGTGCTGTTACTGTCTTTGAATCCTGTTGAAGTCAGATCTAATGTTCAGAGCCAGGGGACCCTCTCCACTAATGACTGCATGAACAAAAAGTCCTGGGTGCAATTAGGACTCAGGAGTTCTGAGTGAGATTCAGGATCAAACAGCCCTGGGTGACCCCAGTTCCAAGGCTGGGTTCAGGGCTCACCTCCCCCTTCTTGTCCAGCTTTCCCCAGACCTGTCCAGGTCCACTGGGCTGTGGAGACTGGGTGCTGCCCTGAATGCCCAGGGTGTTGTGGATCTGCTGTATCACTGAGCTGTCACGCAGGCTGGTCTTGGCAAAGAGCACCGGCTCCGGTAGGTCCCCCATGAACCTCAGGATGATGTTCCACACAGCCAGCGCAGCCTGGGGAAACCGGCAGAGGTCCACTGGAGCCCCAGCTGCAGCACTGCTCCGGCCCCAGTACCCCGGCCCCTTCCCTGTTCCCTCCTAGCCACTGCCCGGACTCCGCTCTGGGTACCGAGCAGTCGTTGTCATCCTCCAGGTAGAGCAGCGGGTACAGCAGCGGCCGCCGGATGTGGGTGTGGCTGGCTGATTTCTGGAAGTAGGTCGCAGCGAACTTGGGGAAGGTGTACTCAGCCAGACCGTCTGCCTCCTCCTCTGGCTCCTCCGCCATGGGGACCGTGTCCAGGTCCACCTCAGGCAGCTGCTCGGTCCTTGTTTCCAGATCCTGGGGGCCAGGTAGGAGGCGAGTGCGGACCAGCAGGTCCTTCAGATAACAATAAGTTAGCCACCGGCGGGGCGAGCACCCTTGGAGACATGGAGCTGAGAAGGCTCTGCCTGGTTATTTGCAGGGTGTGCAGTTAAGAGACCTGCTTAACATTTGTGAGTGGGACCGCAGGATGGCAGAAGCTCCTGCCCCTTTTTCTGCACCACCACCTGGGCCTGCGGAATTCACTTTGGCCACCTGCTCTAGTTGCTCCCTAGAGAGGTCAGGGACTGTGAGGGGTCCTCCCACCTTCATCTGGGGCTGAACCCTAGAATGACAAGGGCGCGTCTTACCTCAAAGGCCGGTGCGGACTGACCTTCCTGTCCACCGATCATGGAAGGGAGGAAGCCAAACACTTTCTCCACCATCTCCGTGTCGGTGATGGTGTCGTAGATGGACTTGGGCTTCTTGGCAGGGAGAGCACTTGGGCTCTGCTGTGCAGCTGGGATGACCAGTGGTCCCTGTATGCACCCATGGGGGAAGGTTATTGCAGGGCCCACCATACTCAGGGGGCAAGCGTGAGGCTGCTGTGGTCGCCCAGGCTAAGCCCCTCACAGAAGCTAAACACTCCTCCTCCTGCCACTATTAGTTCAGATAAATAGATTTTCCTCTAAAATTATAGATTTTAATAGCTAGAAGTGACTAGAGACCAACCAGTCCGGGCTTTACATTCCCAATGGAGAATAAGAAGCACAGATGCGGGCCCACCCCCATCCCACCTGGTTCCTGAAGCCCTTCCTCAGGTCACCAGGGTCCCCAGCATCCAGCTGCACAACCACTGCTCTGAACCACCCAGTCCATCCACAGAGCATTGCAGCCCCCACAGGGGAGGTCCCTGGGCCTGCGCTAACTAATGCACAGGTAAGGCTGGTTTGTAAACAGCCTGGGACCACTTGGGTGCAGAAGCAGCCGCTGACATGTCTGAACATCTGTTCTCCTACTTGCCCTGTTCACTGCACTAGAAACGGCTCAGTAGACCCATGCCTTCATCCTAGCCTATCACAGCTCCCCAGTGAGTGGGGCCTGAAGGAATGAGGTTGAGTCAAGAGCGCCCCCTGGAGGAGTCAGGTCTTGCAAGGCCTAAATTTCAAAATGTGGGGCTATGCATCCTGGTCAGTCTTGGTCAGGGCTTAGCTCTGGTTCAAACCCCTATTGAGATTTGCATTTCTAACAAGCTCCCTGATGAGGATTTGCATTTCTAACAAGTTCCCAGGAAGCTGTACATAAAAATCACCTGGGGATCTTGTTAGGCGGTAGATTCTGATTCAGTATATCTGGGGTGGAAATGCAAATTCTTGGTAGAGAACTTGTTAGAAATGCAAATTCTTAGCAGGGGTTCGAACTGGAAGGAACTGGTTGGAAGCCCTGGGCTTGGTGCCCTTCCTTACTCTGCCCTTTAGCCTCTCCTGTCCTCCCAGGCATCGCCACAGCTACCCTTGGTGTTCTTCTGCCCTGAGCCTTCATGCTACATTCTAGTTACCAGGGGCTTTGCCCTCCTCCATGGAACTGGGCTTTCCCAGAGCTCACCTGCCTCAGTTTCCTGTGCCTTCCCAAGGATGGACCAGCTCTTCCAAGAAACCACACCCAAGCATGGGCTAAAGGGAGAGGACCGGGAGCACGACTTCCAGGTTACAGACATAAGACTGTCCTACTTCTCTTGTCTTAAAAAAGTCCCTGCTGGTGTGATACCTCTCCCATGCTATATCCTTCGAGCTCAGGGGGTTGACCAAGGGTTCTTGGATGCCTTGATGGGCCACTGCAGTAACAACTTTGGACAGGGAGGGGGAAAGGTGTGCCTCTTGTGGAGTCTAAATTTCAGCCCACAGGGAGTCTCCTAGTTTGCCTCCTATATTATTGCTGTGTTCTTGTAGAACAGATTTTAGATCACTTGGCTTGAGGAGACTTTCCAAAGGGGCTTTTCTATCTTGGCCATCACTCTCCCTGCCTGCCCTCCCTATGTTGGCCCCAGTCTGCCCCCACCTGCCCAAGAGGGTGGGGACCACCTACATTGGCTTTCCGCCTCCGGAAGCTCTGCCGAGCAGCCATGCCCCGGGCATGCGCCTGGATGATCACCACGGCCTTTCTCCTGTTCTGGACTGCGCGGCGCATCAGGTAGCCCCTACACCGGGACTGCAAATGGACTATCTTCTCCCGCAGGGTCTGGTACTGCCTTGCCAGCAGGTGGCTCCGGGCAATCGCCTGCAGGCGCTCAAAGCCTAGGAGGATCTGTAAGGTAAGAGGGGTGCACTCACGGGAGGCCTGGGACTCACAGAGCACAGAGCATGAGGCCTTCCCAGAGGGGACACAGCAGGTAGTAGTAGTCCTGAGGAGACCTCACAGGTAGCTTCAGAGTTACCTGCAAAGGGCTGGTGCTAAAATCTTACACACTTTGAGCACGGTCTATTAAGTGAGTTATTACCTGTAGAGTACTTAGAACAGAGCTTGACACAAATAAATGGTAAATAAGCATGTGTTAAATAGCACAAAGAATGAAGTGGTCCCTTGTGTCTGCTAATAAAGAACTGGCTTGGATTTTTACATAGGTGATGGGATTCCAGAGACCTCACTTTTCACACCTGGAGCCAAGTCCAGCCAATTGGTCAGGAGCTTGCACATCTGTGTAGAGGTCTATGGCTGGCTCCATTGAGCTAATCCTTCAGGGGATATTAAAACAGAAGGGAATGATGAGTGGATGAACGTCCACTTCTGTGCTGCAAACATCCCCTCAGCCACAGCAAGCATTCACTGAGTCACTGGGATGAGCTCTTGTAGACCTCACAAGGACCAGCCCAGTGAGGGTCAGGTGACTGTCCACTTCAGGCTGTTCAGTGGAAATGTGGCGTCACGCTTTAGCAGATGGGCTCTGAAGTCATCAGATCTGCATTCAACTCCCAGCTGGACTGCTTACTAACTGTGCACTCTTGGGAAAGTTATTTAACCTCTCTATGCCTCAGTTTCCTTGAAATAATGATACCTACTTTAAATAAAACGGTGCATGAAACATAAGCGATCCTGAGTTGCCTTTCTATTTATGACGGCTATCACTCTACCTTTGGGGACATGGAACACTGACAGGCTGCCTCTCAAAACACAGCCTGGGTTATTCTGCTGGCATGGCTATTGCATGTCACAACCACAGTCAGGTCCATGACAAGACAAGCTGTCAAATGATGCCTATGGGATAAGTTCAAGGTTACCCTGGTTCATTTGCGTAGCAGACAGCCATTAGCAAGTGCCTGTGGTTAAGAAAAATGTTAGAAACAGAGAATAAGCCATCCATTACCTTATTTTGTTGCCTTCAAATTGGGAAAAGACAGCCATGACCTAATTTCAGAGGCAGGACACATCAACGCCATTCTAGAGATGCCCAAAATTCTGCAGAAGAACGTTTGAATCCCACAAACATACAACCTGAGACTATGTTAAAGAGTGTGTGGTGGGAAGGGACTGCTTAAGGGGTACTGAGTTTCTGTTAAGAAAATGAAAACATTTGGAAACACATGGTGGTGATGGTTGCACAACATGGTGAATGTAATCTATGTCAGTGAATCATGTGTAAAAATGGTTGAACTGGCAAATGTTTTGTTATATATATTTTAACACAATAAGATAAAAAAAAGCCAATGTTTCTCAAAGTGTGGTCCCTGGATTGGTAGTGTCAGCATCGCCTGGGAGCTTGTAAGAAATACAATTTCTTGGGTCAGAAACTTGGGGGAAGGGGCCAGCAATCTGGGTTTGACCAAGCCTTCAGGTGATTCTGATGCATGCTCTTGTTTGAGAACCACTGAGTAAGAATAACTCACTAAAAACAGTGATTCTTGGTCAAGGGAGGCTCCCCTGGGGCATACGCTAGAATTTCTGGACTTATAGGTGGCACATGTGATTTGAAAAATCCCCTTAAGTGATTCTGATCTCCTCCCCACAGCTTACTTGCTTTGAGAATCACTGATCCAGACAGTAATTTTAGGATTAAAAGCAACTTCTCATGTGTTGTGGATTGAATTGTGCCCCACTCCCCCAACCAAAAAAAAAAAAAAAATGTGTGTCAGCTTGGGTAGGCCATGATTCCCTGTATTGTGTGGGTTGTCCACCATTTCGTGATCTGAAGTGATTTTCCTATGTGTTGTAAATCCTAACCTTGTGATGTTAATGAGGCAGGGTTAGAGGCAGTTATGTTAATGAGCAGGATGCAATCTACAGGATTAGGTTGTATCTTGAGTCAACCTCTTTTGAGATATAAAAGAATCAAGCAGTGAGGAGAGGGACTTCATTATTAGCAAGCAAGAAGTGCCAGGAGCAGAGCATGTCCTTTCGACCTGGGGTCCCTGCACTGAGAAGCTCCTAGACCAGCGGAAGATTGATGAAAAGGACCTTCCCCCAGACCAACAGAGAAAGCCTTCCCCTGGAGCTGGTGCTCTGAATTTGGACTTCTGCCCTCCTAAACTGTGAGAGATGGATTGACACAGTGGCTGCAGCAATGGGCTGAAGCGTAACAAGGATTGTGAGAATGGTGCAGGACAAGGCAGTGTTTCATTCTGCTGTGCATAGGGTTGCTATGAGTCGGAATCGACTCGATGGCACCTAACAACAACAATAAACCGTGAGAGAATAAATTTCTGTTTGTTAAAGCCATCCACTTGTGGCATTTCTATTATAGCGGCATAAGATAACTAAGACATCATGCAAAAAAAGAAAAGAGAAAGAGAACAACCATGCGTGAGTGTGTGGGAAGCTGAGGTCTAATTATTTTAAACTCTGTATGCCACGTCTGTTAGTGATTGATCCTTCCTACCTGTGATCTCACATTTAAATAAACATTTTAAATTTGCTTTTTATTGGGCAGTGTGACCCCCTGCTTCCAGACCCAGCCTCTCTAGATGGCTTTCTCACCAGCTTGAAATTTCTCCGGGTGCTGAACCCTCTCCAGTTGGCCTGGAGGGTCACGGCAGCCTGCTTCTGCCTCAGGAACTCCTTCCTGGAAGGGAACGCAGAGCATTGAATAGCCCCAGACATTTCAAGGGGGCAAGAGGGATCAGGAAATGCTGGGGAAATGGATACATACAATACTTCTTTTTCAGAAGCCTTATAGACCAAAGACATACGGCCAGATTACCCAAAAAACCAAACCCACTGCCATGGAGTCGATTCCTACTCATAGTGACCCTACGGGACAGAGTACAACTGCCCGTAGGGTTTCTAAGGCTGTAAATCTTTATGGAAGCAGACTGCCACATCTTTCTCCCATGGAGCCGCTGGTGTGTTTGAACCACAGACCTTTTGGTTGGCAGCTGAGCGCTCAACCACTGCGCCACTAGGGCTCCTTCATGGCCAGGGTAGGAAAATAAAATCTACTATCAGCATCTTGGTTTGCTACTAATATTGCATTTGTGAATAAAGACAGTACAATTTTTAAAATAATCAGGTACATCTTCCTCATTCCCTCCAAAGATCTATGAAGGGATAAAAACCATTTTCAACTTTTTATTCCTTGACCGGCCCCCCTCTTCTCACCACCAGAAACCAGAAACTAGGTGATCATTTCAGGTCAGAAATCCCAGGACCCAGAGCCCTCTCTGGGAGCAGGTCAAGGCAGGAGGGCAGCCCACCAGCCCGGGGTCCCCTGGTAACCTGGAGAGCACCATCAAACTCTGTTCTCTTCTGCTGGGAGGAACGTTAGCAGACATGGAGGGATAACCAGACTCGGGAGGAGGCAGAGACACCCAGGAAAGTGTGGTACGTACAGATACATCTTTTATCTGACACTCTATTTAGTTTTCTTATCATTTCTAATAACTTTCCAGGAGATTTTCTTAGGTTTGGAACAGTGGATCTCAACCATATTAAAATCACCTGGAGAACTTTAATGTTTATTGATGACTGGGTTCCACCCTAGTCTAATTAAGTCAGAATCTTTGCTGATGGGGTCTGAAGAATGTGTGTGTGTATGTATATATAAATATGTGGAGTATACACACACACACACACACACACACATTTAACACTCTAGGTGATTCTAATATGCAGCCATAGTTGAGAGCCACTGCTTTCCAAAGTAAACAATTAAATCATCTGAAAACAAAGATAATTTGGCATGACTAAAGCATGCAAAAGCTGGACAATGAATAAAGAAGACCAAAGAAGAATTGATGCCTTTGAATTACAGTGTTGGGGAAGAATATTGAATATACCATGGACTGCCAGGAGAACGAACAAATCTCTCTTGGAAGAAGTACAGCCAGAATTCACGTTAGAAGTGAATATGGCGAGATTCTGTCTCACCTTCTTTGGACATGTTATCAGGAGGGACCAGTCCCTGGAGAAGGAAAGGATGATTGGTAAAGTAGAGGGTGGGCGAAAAAGAGGAAGATTCTCAAGGAGATGGATTGACACAGTGGCTGCAACAATAGGCTCAAACATAGGAACGATTGTGAGGATGGCATAGGACCGGGCAGTGCTTTGTTCTGTTGTACACAGGATCACTATGAGTTGGAACTGACTCAATGGCACCAAACCACAACAACAATAAGTGATTCTAATATGCAGCCATAGTTGAGAACCACCAGTTTCCAGAGTAAACAATTAAATCATCTCAAAACAAAGATAATTTTGTAATGTCTAGAGAGATTTTTGGTTGCTAGGATTCAGCAGTTAGGGGAAGAGGGGCTTGGTTTTACTACTGACATCTAGTGGGTAGAGGCCAGGGATGCTGCTAAACATCTTACAATGCACAGGACAGCCCCCAACAACAAAATTTATTTGGTTCCAAATGTCAGTAGTGCTGAGGTTGAGGAATCCTGCTTTATACCTTTTCTGTTATTTTCTTGTCTAATTTCATTGGCCAGAAAAGCAAGAATGCCATTAAATATCAATGGTGGACACTTCTGGAAGATAGAGTTGGTGTACTTTTCTCTATTTCTCCTGCTAAGTACAACTAAAACCCCTAAAAATTATGTATAAAACAAATATAAGTAGACTCTAAAAGGTGGAGACAAGAAAAAAGACTGGCTAGGGATCTTAAGACCCAAGGAATAACACAGCAGTAAGTTCCCCAGATTTTCTTTTTGCCTCATATATCCCAGACTGGATAATGCAGATGCTGGAAACCCAGAAATGCCAATGGGAACAGACAATAAAATCTGTAGCCTAAGGGAGGAGTGGGAACTCCCAACCACACCTAGCAGTAACAAGAGGCCTCTACCCATCTTGGGTGTTAATGGAGGCCATGTGGGAAACCTGTATTTTTACCCTTAACTGGCAGTAAGGAGATAGAAACCCCCCCTCCCCTTTCAGAGTGGTGTCAGAGGAAACAAGTTAAAACAGGAAGTTTAAATAAAATCTATAGTATCATAACATAATACTTAAAATGTCCAGGTTTCAGTCAAAAATCACTCATCATACCAAGAACCAGGAAAATAACAACTTGAATGAAAAAAGACAGTCAATAGATGCCAACACTGAGATGAGACAGATGTTAATCATCCTAAAAAAATGCTCCAATGAGCAATTACTAACACACTGGAAAGAAATACAAAAATAGAACATCTCAGTAAAGAAAAAGGAGATATAAAGAAGAGCCAGACACATTGATTAAGGATAGAGTTGCATAGCCAGTTATTGTAATTCCTGTCAATAAGTTGTACACCTGTAAAAAGTTGAGCTGACAAAAGTTGTATGACAGATATATTTACAACAACTAAAAGAGTAGCTGCTGAGGCTGCTTATGTACAGCCAAAAACTTCCTGGGATTTGGTTCCTTGGTTTGGAGGTTTGGGGTCATGGTTTCATGGGATATCCCAGTTAATTGGTCTACTAACGTGTTTAGTGCTTCTATTCTACCTCCTAGTTCACTGCATAGTTTCTGGGGTCTTAAAAGCTTGCAAGCGGCCATCCAAGTCATGACAATTGGTCTCTATTCACCTGGAGCAACAGAGGAAGAAATAGGAGGAACAGTCAGGAATAGGAGGAGGATATGAAATGCGTGGCTAATTGCCTCCATGAACAATTGCCCCCCTTGTCACGAGAACAGAACTTGATGATGCCCAGGTACCATTACTGAACATTTTGATCAAAGAGTCCATAGAAGAATGCTGATCAAAAGAGGGAAAATGCAGAGCAGAATTTCAAATTCTCATGGACTCCAGACTTTCTGGAGTCATGGATGCTGGATGAACCCCTGAAACTATTGCCCTGAGATAATCTTTAAAACTTAAACCAAAAATATTACCTGAAGTCTTCTTAAAATGAAACAATAGTTTAGCTTAACTAGCAAAAAATGTCTGCCTTGAGCATTATGCTCTTTTAAGAACTATCTATATGGGATCAAAGTGACAATAGCAACTCAAAAGATTAGATAGGAACCTTAGAGGGCAGTGTGTTTATGTTAATGGGGAGGAACAACTAAGAAAAGGTGGGTGAGAATGGTTGCATAACTTAAATGTAATAAATGTCACTGAATTGTGCGCGTAGAAGTGGTTGAATTGGTGTATGTTTTGCTGTGTATATTATCAACAATGAAAAAAAATAAAAAAGGAAGAGCCAAATGAAAATTTTAGAACTGAAATTTAAAACACAAAAACAAATTAAAAAAAAAATGAATGAGTTCAACAACAAAATGGAAAGGACAGAGGAAAGAATTGGTGAACTTGAACATAAAACAATAGAAATTACCTAACCTGAATAACAGAGAGAAAATAGACTGAAAAAAAAAATGAACAGAACTTCAGGGACCTGTGGGACTGTAACTAAAGCATCAGTATCCCAGAAGGAAAGGACAAAGACACAGGACTGAAAAGCTGCTCAAAGAAATAAAGGCTGAAAACTTCCTGAATTTTACAAAAGCCGTAACTTAGATTTAAGAAGCTGAGAAAATTCCAAACAGGATAAACCAAAGACATCCATATCAAGACACATCATAGTCAAACTTCGAAAACTAAAGACAAATGAAAAATCTTGACAACAATGAGAAAGAAACAACACCTTACCTACAAGGGAAAAATCATTAGAATGATGGCAGATTTCTCAACAAAAACCAAGGAGGCCAGAATGAAATGGTACACATTTTCCAAGCCCTGAAAGAAAACAACTGTCAACTCAGAATACTATATCCACTGCAATATCCTTTAGGGATTAAGGGGAAATCAAGCCATTCTCAGACAAAGGAAAACTAAGAGAATTTGTTGTCAGCAGACTGACCCTAAAAGAATGGTCAAAGAAGTTTTCTAAACAGAAGGGAAACGATAAAAGATGAAACTTTGGAACATCAGGAAGGAAGAAAGAATGTCATAAGCAAAAATATGGGTAAATATGATAGGCTTTCCTTCTCTGCTGGAGTTTTTAAAATTATGTTTGAAAGTTAAAGTAAAATTGACAACACTGTCTGATATGGCATACCTGAAGCTGTGCTTCCTTGAAGAGCAACATTAGAGGCTTAATATTGTGTACAGACTTCACTAAAATAATCCAGCCAGCCAATAAACAAATAAACAAGCAAAAAACAATAAAAAGTCTCAGAAGAGGGGGACCAGTATCCACAGTTGCTACAGTATATTATCAATAATGTCTAGTCTCTAACAAAAAAACTACGAGTCATGTAATGAAACATAAAGTAGAAAAAAAACAGGCAAGAGAAACTACCTGTGAGAGTGACCAGAAGTCAGATTTAATAGAAAAAGATGTCAAAGTAGCCATTAAATTTGTTCACAAAACTAAAGGAAGGTGTGATGACAATGTCACATCAAATAAAACAAACCCATTGCCATGGAGCTGATTGCATCTCATAGTGACACTATAGGACAGAGTAGAACTTCCCCCATAGGGTTTCCAAGGCTGTAGACTTTATAGAAGTGGACTGCCACATCTTTATCCCTCAGAGCTGCTGGTGGAGTGGAACCTCCAACCTTTTGGGTTGCAGCACTCTAACCACTCCACAACCTTGTCACATCAAATAAAGAATATCAATAAAGAGATAGAAATCAT